AGGGAAACATGGCGCGAAGCCATGGACAGGAAGTTGAAAGCGCTGGAAGAACGGAACACCTGGAAAATTGTTACCATCGGCGTGGCACGCAACAAAACGGACATACTCACCGGAAAATGGGTCTTCCGTGTGAAAACAAAAGCAGACGGCACCATCGACAAATTCAAGGCACGCTGGGTCGTACGCGGCTTCGACCAAGAGCACGGACGCGACTTCACGGAGACATTCGCCCCGGTCAGCTGACACACTTCGCTGCGAATCCTCCTCGTAATAGCGGCCATGAAGAAGAAGAAGCTACGGCAAATCGACGTCGCCAACGCCTTTCTATACGCACCTGTCAATGCTGAAATTTTCGTCGAGCTACCGCAGGGCTCCAACACGAACCCCAACCAAGTCTGTCAGTTGATGAAATCTCTGTACGGTATCAAACAGGCCTCCCAAGACTGTGGCAACGGTACCTGCACGCTAGACTCATCCGCATCGGATTCCGCCAGCTACCGCACGACCAGGGCATGTACCGGCTTACAAAGGACACTGACTACATCCTGCTGATTTTCTATGTAGATGATCTACTCTACATTGGCTCGACTGACGACATCACCACCTGGTTTGAAAAGGAGCTGCAGCAGGATCTCACCCTCACGGTGTCATCGACCATCACGCAATACCTCGGCCTCAACATTCAGGAAGAGGAAAGCGCAATCTATCTTAGCGCCGCAAAATACGCCGACACCATCGCCAAACGCTTCGGACTCACCCCGACCACCATCTCCACTCCATACCGCTACGCTCAAACCCGCCGGCATACGCGACTACCAGAGAAAGCTGGGATGCCTCCTCTTTGCGGCCGTCACCTGCCGTCCGGATCTATCGTACTCTGCGAGTCAACTCGCCACCTACCTCAAGAAGCCTGAAGCGGAACACATGGCGGAGCTCGATCGCGCTCTTCACTACCTCATGAGCACCCCAACGATCGACCTAACCTACCATAAAAACGGAACTACAACGCCTAAGTTAATCGGCTACGTCGACGCCGACCACGCAGGAGACTCCGACAACAGGCGCTCACGCACCGGCTACATCTACCGACTCGAGCCTATCGGACCTATTTCGTGGCAGTCGAGCAATCAAGAGCTAATCGCTCTCTCCTCAGCTGAAGCAGAATATATCGCACTCTGCTCAGCCACCAAGGAAGGACTTTACCTTCGCGAACTGCTAGACAAAACGAAGTTGGCTCAGTTACCCAGCTTCTCCCTATTCTGCGACAACCAGTCAGCAATTCGGATAGCCAACAAGAACGAATTCGCAAACAGGACAAAACACATGGACTTGCGGTACTTCTTCGTGAAGGACGAGATCGAGAAGGGAAGACTCGAGCTGTCATTCTGCCCCACATCTGAGATGGCAGCTGACTACTTGACCAAGAAACTCGGAAAGCAGAAGTTTGAGTATTGCATGCTGCTGACTGGACAGAGCCACGTCACCAGCAACGACACTCCAGAAGTGAAGGGGAGTGTTGGAAACAAGTAACTTAAGCGCTTCTTATGCGTCGAAACAACAGAGTGCAATCGAGGCGAACTACCACGCAACACCAAGCGAGTCAACCATCGGAGGTTGACATGCACAATAACCGCTGGAGGTTACGCGAAGGTCAAAGGTCGCTGGCTTTTGACTTAACAAATACAGCGCGACAGCAAGGACACACAACTGACTCGATTTTGAGCAGTTGCTCGAGTCGTCACTGTATCGAACCGCAACAGCAACAGTAAAGCAGTTATAACCGTATCCTTTCATATTCCTTATACTCCTGTATCTCCTTGCTTTAATCAATCTACTTTGCCCTCACATACTAGCGCAAGGTGGTTCAATGTCCTTATTAAACGCTTCCGCAATTACAAGTAGCTCTACCCAGAGTTAAGTCCTGCAATGATCGTAAGGGCTTTTCTCAGCCCGACACTGTTCGCGTCAATTTGAATCGGCCAACTCCGATCGCCTCACACCAATCATGACATTCCCGAGCCACGCACATCTAGAGGTTCTCGCCTAGTTTCGCCGTATATATTCTTGCCTTTTTCATTGTTTCTGCATTCTGTAATCACGTTCTCTTTATAAAGTCTTCCGCGCACTCTGTCTAGTAAAAACTCATAACATTATGGAAAGTAGCAGACACGAGCTTTCGTTTCAGAATAATTTATGAACGTTACACTCATTGCATACATTATTACCTATCCCCAATTTCCTCCCCACCCTCCACCATCTTTCCTCCACAATTTACATCACAGCCATCATGTGCCTAAAACTTTTCCCAAGGTCTAAATGACAGCAGCAGGCTGGCACTGGGTGGCAGGGTCGGTCATGGAGTAGCTGTTGCCATTGCTGAAGCGCAGCTCCTGCACGCAGGGGCGGAAGGCACTCGTCCAAGCATACAGAATGTTGAGCGTCTCCCCGGGGAACATCTGCACAGTGCCGTCAGCACCGCGGTTCATGTGCACCTCACAGTTCCCCGGCGACGACTGCACAAAGATATCGCCTATCTGGTACTGCGTGGGGTTGGGCGCGGGGTTGTCGAGGCTGCCCTCCCACACGTTGCCGAAGTTGAGGCACTGGTACACGCGCAGCGGGCTGGTGACGTTGTAGGCGCAGCCGTTGTAATAGGTCATGTTGTAGATGTTGTTGTGCAGGTCGTACGGCCCCAGGTACTGCGACCGGATCGTCACCGTCGTACGCCCGCAGGCTGCGAGGGGGAAGGAGATGTGGGGGGGGGGAGGGGATGAGGGGGGTGGGGGTTGGAGGCAGGGAAAAACAAAATGAGAATTCAGAAAGGGGACGCAACCAGAGCAGAGGAATGAGAGGCAAGGGGGCCAGGGGAATGAGAAGCGATGGGGAGCAAAGAAATGAGGGGCAAGGGGAGCGGGGAGGGCTGTGAGAAGCAACGGAAAGCAGAGCTAAGGAACCAAGGCAGGTAAGAGAGGGAGAGGAGGGGACAGCAGCGCGTACGTGGGGGTGAAGGACGAGATAACGAGGGGGAACAACGAGAGACTTATGACTTGGAGCAGCGAGATGAATGCAAAGTGAGCAAGGAAATGGTTGCTGTAGGGAGCAGGGAAGTGAGTGCTGAGGGGAGCAAGCAAGTGAGTGCTGAGGGGAGCAGGAAAGTGACAGCTGAAGGGAGCAGGGAAATGAGTGGCGAGGAGAGCAGAGGAAAAGAGAGGAGAGCAGAGGAATGAGAGACAAGGGGAGCAGAGAAATGAGAGAAGCAGAGAAACTAGAGACAGCGGAAGCAGGTAGAGAGGGAGTGGAGGGAGCAGAGCAGAGTTGCGTACAGGTGGCGAGGGCCTGGCGGCGGGGGATGTGGTCGAGGTAGCCGGGCAGAGGGGCGTCGTGAGCGAAGGTCTCAGCCGCGAGAATGCGCCTGCCCCCCCCTGGGACCAGCGCCCTGGCTACCTTCATGGCGTCCCGCGCTCCACTCACCGCCGCCGCCAGCAGCCCCACCGCCAGCGCTGCCAGCACCAGCACGCGCATGCCAGCCGTTGCCATGAGGAGAGGCGCGGAACTGAACGGAAAGAAGCAAGCGAGAGAGGCTTGGCGAGGCGAATGATTGGCTCGGAAAAGGGAGCACTGGTCGAACTGATGAATTCATGGTAGCCATTATGGCCGCTTTATAAGTCGCGCTGGACCGTGTGATGCTGTGCGTGGATGATGCTAAGGGAGGTTTTCTCCCCTCTGGCACGGAGGGTGAATCGGCCTTCCTGCTACTGCTGCTGCTGCTGCTGCTGCTGCTGCTGAGAAATCCTAACTGCTGCAGTAATGGAGGAGGTGAGCATTCATGACGGCACAGCAAAGGTCACCGTCGATTGCCATGCTGCCTACAGGAACCGTTGCTCTTACTGCTGGCGTGATGTCGTAACTAATCGCGGTGTCGTATGGAGCGCGGATGTAACATATCGAATCCCACCAACCCAAGTCTCGATACATTGAACCTAGGTTGGGAAGAGAAACGGAAATGAACTGGTTGGAAAGCGGGGAAACGAACTGGTTGGCAAGCCAACCAATCAGAACACTTTTATACAAAGTGAGTCGAGAAGTTTCCCGCCGCTGGTTGGAGTTACAACCAATCACAAACATTCGAAGTCCAACACAACTCTTGCGTTGGAATTGCAACCAGTTGAAACATGACAGGTAGGGATAACATATTACATACACAGCATTTTATCCCTTTGTTTGTGCCATGTCATTGAGTAACCTTTGCCACATGGGCAAGGCCCAAGGGAGTGCACCCCTCCTTGCCATGGGGAAGGTGGTTGCACCCCAAGGGGGTCTAGGGAAGGGGTCTGAAGCCTCTTGGCTCATTCTCCATTTCCTACTCCCAACAAATCAATTGGGAAATAGGATTGCTTTTCTCCTCAACTCACCTTCCACAGTTTGTTACTGCATCTCCTAGCACTCTCCAGACTTAGTGATTTCCAGGAGCTGCTACTCTCTGGTTGTATTAGAACCTATTATTAAGTGGGTAAATGCCCTTTTTCTTCATAGATCCGTTACATTGGTATTCAGAGCTATTAGTAGATCCTCGCCTTGTGGGCATATAAGAGGATTTTGTGGATTTTTTTTTTGAGAAGTTGTGATTGTATTGTAATCTCTATTATAAAGTTTTTGAAGACTACAAGCTCAAGCTCAAGTTTTCAAGACTTTGAAGCTTCTCCAAGAGTTCTCAGCCCTCCCTCCCTCCCTGCTGGTGGAACCATTGGAGCTACTGTGAAGAAGTTGCAACCTGTGTGTATTAACATTCTCTGTTGAAGACAATCACTTTGTGATTGTTCTTGCCTTATCCACTGCGGTGGTAAGGATATTTTGCAACAGAGGTGTTTTTCACATTGCTGTGGTTGTAAGATCTATTGAAGAAATTTCTCCTTTGGAGAAAATCTTGGTTATTCACTGCGGTGATAACAATTTGCAGTAGATCTGTAACTCATTTTTATAATACAGTGACTTGACTCTCAATGGCTTCTACCAACTCCAATGCTGGAGGTGTTGAAGGGAACAACTCCCAGGCTGAACTGGAAGCTTGTGTGCAGAAGATTGACCTGAACAACTTGGATGAGGAAATGGCTGAAAAGGAACCTGCTGAAAACTCCCCTGCTAAGGACCCTTCAGCTGCTGAAAATTCCAAGGAGCAGGAAGGGGAGTCTCAGGAGGATGACATTGAGCTGGAGGGCGAAGAGGATATTCTGCATGCTGAAATTGCTAAGCTGCAGGATCACGCTGCTGAGCAGGATACGCGCATCCAGCAGCAGCAGTCTCTCATCTCCATGCTCAGGGGGGAGCTCTCTGACCAGGACAACAAAATCAAGTACCTGGAAGTTGAGCTCAAGAACATGAAGCACGATGCGCGGGAGCAAGGTCACCAGCTGGCGCGGCAGACCTCAAAGATCAACGATCTGCGCGAGGCTTTCAACGCCCTTCGGAGGGAGACCATGTATCGCCCTGCACCGCGAGCGGACCCGCCCGCCAACTCTGCTAGCGGTCGCACCAACCCTTCTCGCTCTGGTGGTGCAGTGGGTGACCCCGGTCCTTCTACGCAGCGCGCTGCTGAGCCGAGCACGCAGGCCTTTGGCTCTCTGCCAATCACCCTGCCGCCATTCATCCATGGCAAGACGGACGTGGCTGCGTGGCTGTCGATGATGACCGACCTGTTCAAGGCGCACAAGGTCCAAGACGACGCTCGCGTCGTCGCTGCCACCACCGTGCTGGACCAGAATGCACAGCGAGTGGTGTATGGCAGCAAGATCCAGGCTGAGGCGGATAGGAAGCCGTTTGGGTGGGAGGAATTTGCCTCTGCGCTCAAGCAAGCTTTTCAGGTCCAGCCGACCCAGCTGGAGGTGCGCAGTCGCCTTGAGAAGCTGCAGTGCGGGAACCGCACAGTGCAGCAGTACGCCGTGGAGTTCCAGGAGCTGCTACTCTCTGGTTGTATTAGAACCTATTATTAAGTGGGTAAATGCCATTTTTCTTCATAGATCCGTTACAGCGGATCATGCGGCGCGGCGGGCACGCCTATCGTCGCTGAATGAACACCGGGTAGAAGGGCAGCACTGAGAGATTGAGATGCTTCTCGAGCGATTCGATTTCTGAAAACAGGGCGGCTCGATCTACCGGTGGTTAAGCAAAACAAGAGATTCCGTCTGGTGGTTTAACGAAACGACGGCGTTAACCACCACGCACGACAGCGTCCCTTCGTTCGACTTCCTGGTTTCCATATCAGGCTCGTCCTCTCACGTCCTGGTGTCCTGACTCTCGACTCGATCTCACGTCTCCCCTTGTCTCGGTACTTGCGAGACAAATCATCTCGGAGAAGCGGCGCTGCATAGACAGTTAGAAAGCACTTCGCGCGGCTAACGACACGCAGCAGCCGGGTCGCGTCCAACATCAGCGTTTGCAACCATAATAACTTGTCTACCCTACAGTCTGGTATAACGAATTTCGCAGCTGACGAGAACTTCAAGGCGTTTGTCGCCTGTACATAGAACGCAAGCATGAAGAACAAAGGGGCCCTGTTCTACAGGCAAACGGGCACGGCGTGGAAACGGAAACACGGGAAACCACTTTCAGCTTTCCTCTAGACTCGTCATACTCTCCAAACCTCGAAAGCTCACCTGGTTGCGTAGGAAATTTCTTTCCGCCCATACGCTGGTGTCAGCCATCTTTCGCGTAAAGGCGGGGGGTGTAGTTTTTCTTTAGATTTACATGTTTAAAGTCTCCATTTCTGAATAGTGTTTTTTTTAACAAAAAACGTCCGTGGAGTCCAATCCCTAGGTATGTTACATATCTTGAATTTCGCTTCAACCCATCAGCGCCTAAAAATAGGAGGGGGTTTGCTTACGGAATTTCTGTAGTTTGGAGGGTAGAGCACTAGTTGCACCTGGACAATTGTTTCCATCTTGATGCCATTTTGCTTCCCGTAAAAAGGAGGTATCCCTTGGAAACCAAACAGAAACAAAAATCGCTGGGGAGAGAAGTTGGGTACACACCTTCCGTCTCGATGTTTCCGTTTCCACAAACCAGGTTGTTCTGCAGCCACTGTTTCCGTTATGTTCGGATGGAAACATGCAGGTATGACACTCATTTTCGGTCTGACCATGCTATCGAACCTAAATTGACTGTCGACGGAAGCAACCAAGAGGATTCTGACAACGGAAACAAAGGCCTGTAGAACAGGGCCAGGTAGAATCGAGGAACAGAAAATGGCAGCAGACAGGAACTTGTCTTCTGTGGATCGTTCATTTCTCGACTGTTGGTATTCCCTAGGTTTTCACGAAAACGGTTACAATATTGCCACCACCCATCGCTGACGAAGTGAGCGGAAGTAGCCGTGCGACGATTGCTTTGCTATGCGGTTCATTTGCGGATTCAAGACTTCGCCTGCGTTCGCCAGACTGGCGAGTCCATCGCAAACTGTCTTATCTGATGTAGTTCCATCCAAGAATCTGAACCTGAAACGGTTTCAACGAATGCTGGCGATGTGTAATAAATCAGGGTTCAAGATTTCGCGAATGTTGGGGGTGTTCAATCTCTCTCGAGATATTTGGGGTCTTCCGATTGGCTGTGAAACTTTTTCGCGAAACCGAACGGTACGGTAAATCAACCCCGTCAATGTGCATAAATCCCGCCCGCGAGGGGACTATACAGGTATAAACAATAAACAACAGTAAATATACCAGTTCTGGTTTGGGGCGTGTTGGCGGGGGATCCTAAACCGGAACGTTTGTACCCGCAAAGCAAGTTCGCCTGGCCCGCGCCGATTTCAAAAACCTTGCATCGAGCCGCGAGTCTATTGAACCTGCTAATCTGCTGCAGCAACCCTGTGCGAGCAAGCAGCCTTACTAGGGCCCGGCGTAGGCTTCAAAACGAAGCACCCTAAACTTTATCAAACCGAAATGAACCATATTCTGGGATCTTGCGATCTAAGACTTATCGGAACATTTCGTACGATTTTCACGAGATGATTGGTCTCAAGTTAGCTACTATTCGGTCGGACGAAGCCCCGGCGCCATGTCAGCTTTCTTATCTCATGACTCGAAACAGTCTTGGCTACCTTGTGTGGTCTTGTTAGTGCTATTCGCGATAGCGGTAGTTCCGTTACTATTCCACAGCTTCTTCATAGTCCCGTAAACGCTGTACACTGACCCACCAAGCCTCCAGCTTTTGCAAGGCGCGCTTTCCGCGGCGAACCAATCCGACGAACTGTCACTGAGCGCGACAGAACAGGGTAACTTAACCGCTGACGTGGCCACGAACCAGGAGAACTGCCAAGTTCCGGAAAGTTCGGTAGGATACGATCCGATTTGCTGGTGGTCCGGGGACCATGGCGGGTACAGCGGGGGCGACTCGTCGGGAACGAGCGGCGTGAAAGAATCGAATCATGGCGACACGGTGCAGAACGGTTCAACGCGGCAGAATGGTAGCACGCAGGCAGGGAACGCGGAGGAGGCTATTCGCCGGGAGCGACAAAGGGGAGGAGTGTTGATTTTCGGCGGGGGTTGCTCCCGTTGCACGGTGGGCGAGCTGTGCGCGTTCGAGATCGCCGTCAGACCTCCCGCCAGATGGGTCCCTCATAGGGCCCGGCTGAGCCGGATCGCTCAAGGGAAAAAGGAGTGGGCTATGAAACATACAGGCGGCGGCGGGGGTGGCAGCAGCAGCAGCGGCGCGAGGATAGGTATGGGTGGGATGCTCGAGTCGTTGGTGGTGAGGCTGATGGGGCCCGCATTGGCTATAGCGGATGTGACTACAGAGGACGGTGACGTCACGCGCTGGCGAGTCACTTACCACGTGTGGGACGCTGGTGACTACAGGTGAGGGTTGGGGGAAGGGGAGGGGGGAGGAGGGGAGGAGGGGGAGGGAAGGAGTCACGGAGGGAAAGGGAAAGTTTGGGAGGGGAAGAGTGGGTAAGGGGACGGGGAAGGAGGGAGGAGGAAGGGAACGTGGAAGGAGGGGACTGAGGGTAACGGTTAGCAGGTGAAGGGGGAGGGGAGAGAGGGTGGGATGGGTTGGGTAATTCGTGCTTCTTATTCCGTTTCCCCCCCATCCGTTTCTCTCCAATTCAGTTCAGCATTCACATCCTCACTACTGATAATCCCACATGCCTTACTTTCTTTCTTTTCCCATCCTTGCCATCCCCCAATCCACCAGCGTCCTCGTCCAATCAGAGTGCGACATGCTGGACTATGCTTCTGACTACTTGCATCGGGTCCGGAAGACAAAATCGCATGTCATGGCCAAATGGGTCCTCACTGTCCTCCCACCCACCAAACCATCCACTGGACCAGTTCCCAAGCCATCCACCGAACCATCTACCGAACCAACCGTCGAACCAGTCACAAATTCATCCACGAAATCAGCTACCAACCTATCCACCGAGTCAGTTACCGCTGAGTCCCAACCCAGCAACAGGACCTCTCACGATGCAACGTACGGTCCAGATTCGCCGTGCGACCATGCCATCCACGGCCGGTGGCTGTTCAACACACAGAAGCGGGCCTACGAGTGGCAACTCTACCCCTGCGCGCACCCCCTCCCCCCTGCCTCTCAATGGCTCTCCGCCCTCCAATCCCGGGGTATTTCCGAAATCAACTTTGTCGGCGATTCTCACGTGCGCTTTCTCTGTCACCACCTCTTCTTTTTCCTCACCGGCAAGGCCAATGCATCCATTGTGAAGCTTCATGAATATCATCAGTTGATCGTGCCACCCCCTAGCCCAGATTTGCAGCCTCTGACGCTCAATTTTTATTGGATCGGAGGGATTTACATCGATGGGCCTTTTGGCTGCAGGTGTGTGTGTCTGTAGGAGCGAAGCTCCATTGATTATCGTCCCTTTCCTTCATGACTGTAGCTCCACGCTGAATAGCAGTCCATTCACTGTCCTTTGATAGAAGTAGTTTTGAGACATATCAGAACTTTTCTACTTTCACGCGACTATTTATTTTCTGGTTCCGGTAGAATTTTGCTCGCACGAAGATTCCCTTCTGCTGGCTGTAGCATTGAGCTGAATAGCAGTCCATTCGCTCTCCTTTCTGCTTCGTCCTGTCTATATATTTTCTGGAGGGTTCAAGGCTCTAAACACTCTCCACATGCCTTCCCATCATGTCTGCCACCCCTCCCTTCACTGTAATCACCTTGCAGCTATAAGAACGTCACGGCATTTGAGCTGCTCACGTTTCCAAACATTTCTTCGACAGCCAATGTGACGCTTGTAGACGGCGGCTTCTGGATGACGATTTTCTGCGCCGAGCCGGAGAACGCGTTGGGTTACTACCTTCCCAACTACCTGCAGTGGGTTTACTCTCAGAGGGAACAGGCAATGCAGGCGCAGCAGCAGACGCAGCAGCAGCAGCCGCAGCAACAGCAGCAGCAGCAGCAGAAGAAGCAGCAGGAAAGTCAAGCTTCAGCGCTGCCTTCCAGGGCGGGCCCGTGGTTTCTGTTCCGAAGCATCCCTCCGAGGCGGCTCAACGACTTTTGTTACGACGGAACAAACACGCTCATTGCACACATGAACAAAGTTGTTGCCGGGCACTTGGGACGGTACGGGCTGCAGCTTCTCAATGATTGGCTCATCGCAGCCCCTCGCCCCGATGATACGTGCGGGCCAACGGATCCGCACCACTCCTGCTTTGCTGAAGCTGCGAAAGGCAAGAATAATAAAACGGAAACGGATGGGAGGTATGAGGGGGTTGTGGGTGAAGCGATGGTGTGGAATCTGGTTTACCATCTCTTGTATAATTTGGCTTGAATGTTCCCAGTGTTGAGCAGTGCATGTTCAAGTGCACTTGAGTTCAGGTTGTACCTACCGTACCTCACCAAGGTTTTTGCCAAGAACTTAATTGCAGGAGAACATGACATCTCTTAGGTCCCACAAATGTACAGTAACAACTTCCTACATAGGAACTGATCCTACGGTAAGCCCTACGCTCGCAACAACCTGACAAACTGACCACGTTAAGAGTTGGACGAAAAGGAACCCATATTCTAGTACTCTCCAACATGGAATTAATCATCAAACCATGTGATGTGAAACCAGGACACATGAAGAACTCAGTGAGATGACGATTGACCATTTGCAATGCCTCAGAGGTGACACCTGTGAGACCATGGCACATCCAATCCAGGAACTCAAAGCAACGATTGACATCCCAGAATGCTAAGTGCTCTGTGCCCCTGGCACCCTGGCCTCCTTGCTGGGACTGCAGCACAAGGTATTGCCTGAAGCTGAAACCAGGGGTGGGCAGAGCAGAGCGGTGGGCGAGTCGTAAAGGTTTGCATAAATCGCATTGCAAGTTACTTGAAGCTGAAACCAGTGGGCGGGGCAGGGGGAGCTCTCCTAGACGTGGCACGCAAGGGGTTTCCCATCCCCGCTCCTACATCCCTCCCTCCTGCTAGGGTCTGTTGCATCAGGGGACTCGCACCCGTCGCTCGCAAGTTACTTGAAGCTGAAACCAGTGGGCGGGGCAGGAGGAGCTCTCCTAGATGTGGCACGCAGGGGGTTCCCCATTCCACCTCCTGCATCCATCCCCCCTGCTAGGGTCTGTCTCAGAGGACTAGCACTCCTGGCAGTGCTTGCAGACGGCACCATTGGCGGCCCCCGGGCCATCACCGGGCCTGGGACCATAGCTCCGGGAACTCCTGCACCTAGCGGGTTCGGCACGGAGCTCATAGTCATGCCACGGGTGATAGCTGGCGGTTGGTTGGCGGAGGAGGTTCGGGAGGGCTGGAATGAAGAGGCATGTGTGATACCATACGGGGGAGCCGCAGCTGCTGCTGCTCCTGCTGCTGCTGCTGATGAGGTGGGAGGGGTGGGAGAAGCAGCAGCAGCAGCACCGGCTGCTGCTGCTGCAGCGGCTGCTACGGCTGCAGAGGCTGAAGATCTGGAGGCTTTGGAGGAGGAGGAGGAGGATGAGGAGGAGGAGGAGGAGGGGGGTGGTGGGGGTGATTTTCGAGAGGAAGGGGAGGGAAGAGTGCTGGAATCTGCAGAAGGTTCTTCGGGGATTGTGGGAGCGGCAGGGGCGGCCTTGTTGAAAGCTGTTCTCCATGCGTCCACTGTCTCCTTGGTGCCTGATGGGACAGCAGGGCACAAGATGGCAGAGAGAGAGGCGCATATGCACAGAGATTTGACACAGAGAGGGATGGACATGACACAGAGAGGGATGGACATGACACAGAGAGGGATGGACATGACACAGAGAGGGATGGACATGACACAGAGAGGGATGGACATGACACAGAGAGGGATGGACATGACACAGAGAGGGATGGACATGACACAGAGAGGGATGGACATGACACAGAGAGGGATGGACATGACACAGAGAGGGATGGACATGACACAGAGAGGGATGGACATGACACAGAGAGGGATGGACATGACACAGAGAGGGATGGACATGACACAGAGAGGGATGGACATGACACAGAGAGGGATGGACATGACACAGAGAGGGATGGACATGACACAGAGAGGGATGGACATGACACAGAGAGGGATGGACATGACACAGAGAGGGATGGACATGACACAGAGAGGGATGGACATGACACAGAGAGGGATGGACATGACACAGAGAGGGATGGACATGACACAGAGAGGGATGGACATGACACAGAGAGGGATGGACATGACACAGAGAGGGATGGACATGACACAGAGAGGGATGGACATGACACAGAGAGGGATGGACATGACACAGAGAGGGATGGACATGACACAGAGAGGGATGGACATGACACAGAGAGGGATGGACATGACACAGAGAGGGATGGACATGACACAGAGAGGGATGGACATGACACAGAGAGGGATGGACATGACACAGAGAGGGATGGACATGACACAGAGAGGGATGGACATGACACAGAGAGGGATGGACATGACACAGAGAGGGATGGACATGACACAGAGAGGGATGGACATGACACAGAGAGGGATGGACATGACACAGAGAGGGATGGACATGACACAGAGAGGGATGGACATGACACAGAGAGGGATGGACATGACACAGAGAGGGATGGACATGACACAGAGAGGGATGGACATGACACAGAGAGGGATGGACATGACACAGAGAGGGATGGACATGACACAGAGAGGGATGGACATGACACAGAGAGGGATGGACATGACACAGAGAGGGATGGACATGACACAGAGAGGGATGGACATGACACAGAGAGGGATGGACATGACACAGAGAGGGATGGACATGACACAGAGAGGGATGGACATGACACAGAGAGGGATGGACATGACACAGAGAGGGATGGACATGACACAGAGAGGGATGGACATGACACAGAGAGGGATGGACATGACACAGAGAGGGATGGACATGACACAGAGAGGGATGGACATGACACAGAGAGGGATGGACATGACACAGAGAGGGATGGACATGACACAGAGAGGGATGGACATGACACAGAGAGGGATGGACATGACACAGAGAGGGATGGACATGACACAGAGAGGGATGGACATGACACAGAGAGGGATGGACATGACACAGAGAGGGATGGACATGACACAGAGAGGGATGGACATGACACAGAGAGGGATGGACATGACACAGAGAGGGATGGACATGACACAGAGAGGGATGGACATGACACAGAGAGGGATGGACATGACACAGAGAGGGATGGACATGACACAGAGAGGGATGGACATGACACAGAGAGGGATGGACATGACACAGAGAGGGATGGACATGACACAGAGAGGGATGGACATGACACAGAGAGGGATGGACATGACACAGAGAGGGATGGACATGACACAGAGAGGGATGGACATGACACAGAGAGGGATGGACATGACACAGAGAGGGATGGACATGACACAGAGAGGGATGGACATGACACAGAGAGGGATGGACATGACACAGAGAGGGATGGACATGACACAGAGAGGGATGGACATGACACAGAGAGGGATGGACATGACACAGAGAGGGATGGACATGACACAGAGAGGGATGGACATGACACAGAGAGGGATGGACATGACACAGAGAGGGATGGACATGACACAGAGAGGGATGGACATGACACAGAGAGGGATGGACATGACACAGAGAGGGATGGACATGACACAGAGAGGGATGGACATGACACAGAGAGGGATGGACATGACACAGAGAGGGATGGACATGACACAGAGAGGGATGGACATGACACAGAGAGGGATGGACATGACACAGAGAGGGATGGACATGACACAGAGAGGGATGGACATGACACAGAGAGGGATGGACATGACACAGAGAGGGATGGACATGACACAGAGAGGGATGGACATGACACAGAGAGGGATGGACATGACACAGAGAGGGATGGACATGACACAGAGAGGGATGGACATGACACAGAGAGGGATGGACATGACACAGAGAGGGATGGACATGACACAGAGAGGGATGGACATGACACAGAGAGGGATGGACATGACACAGAGAGGGATGGACATGACACAGAGAGGGATGGACATGACACAGAGAGGGATGGACATGACACAGAGAGGGATGGACATGACACAGAGAGGGATGGACATGACACAGAGAGGGATGGACATGACACAGAGAGGGATGGACATGACACAGAGAGGGATGGACATGACACAGAGAGGGATGGACATGACACAGAGAGGGATGGACATGACACAGAGAGGGATGGACATGACACAGAGAGGGATGGACATGACACAGAGAGGGATGGACATGACACAGAGAGGGATGGACATGACACAGAGAGGGATGGACATGACACAGAGAGGGATGGACATGACACAGAGAGGGATGGACATGACACAGAGAGGGATGGACATGACACAGAGAGGGATGGACATGACACAGAGAGGGATGGACATGACACAGAGAGGGATGGACATGACACAGAGAGGGATGGACATGACACAGAGAGGGATGGACATGACACAGAGAGGGATGGACATGACACAGAGAGGGATGGACATGACACAGAGAGGGATGGACATGACACAGAGAGGGATGGACATGACACAGAGAGGGATGGACATGACACAGAGAGGGATGGACATGACACAGAGAGGGATGGACATGACACAGAGAGGGATGGACATGACACAGAGAGGGATGGACATGACACAGAGAGGGATGGACATGACACAGAGAGGGATGGACATGACACAGAGAGGGATGGACATGACACAGAGAGGGATGGACATGACACAGAGAGGGATGGACATGACACAGAGAGGGATGGACATGACACAGAGAGGGATGGACATGACACAGAGAGGGATGGACATGACACAGAGAGGGATGGACATGACACAGAGAGGGATGGACATGACACAGAGAGGGATGGACATGACACAGAGAGGGATGGACATGACACAGAGAGGGATGGACATGACACAGAGAGGGATGGACATGACACAGAGAGGGATGGACATGACACAGAGAGGGATGGACATGACACAGAGAGGGATGGACATGACACAGAGAGGGATGGACATGACACAGAGAGGGATGGACATGACACAGAGAGGGATGGACATGACACAGAGAGGGATGGACATGACACAGAGAGGGATGGACATGACACAGAGAGGGATGGACATGACACAGAGAGGGATGGACATGACACAGAGAGGGATGGACATGACACAGAGAGGGATGGACATGACACAGAGAGGGATGGACATGACACAGAGAGGGATGGACATGACACAGAGAGGGATGGACATGACACAGAGAGGGATGGACATGACACAGAGAGGGATGGACATGACACAGAGAGGGATGGACATGACACAGAGAGGGATGGACATGACACAGAGAGGGATGGACATGACACAGAGAGGGATGGACATGACACAGAGAGGGATGGACATGACACAGAGAGGGATGGACATGACACAGAGAGGGATGGACATGACACAGAGAGGGATGGACATGACACAGAGAGGGATGGACATGACACAGAGAGGGATGGACATGACACAGAGAGGGATGGACATGACACAGAGAGGGATGGACATGACACAGAGAGGGATGGACATGACACAGAGAGGGATGGACATGACACAGAGAGGGGCGGAGATGCACAGAGAGGGGCGGAGATGCACAGAGAGGGGCGGAGATGCACAGAGAGGGGCGGAGATGCACAGAGAGGGGCGGAGATGCACAGAGAGGGGCGGAGATGCACAGAGAGGGGCGGAGATGCACAGAGAGGGGCGGAGATGCACAGAGAGGGGCGGAGATGCACAGAGAGGGGCGGAGATGCACAGAGAGGGGCGGAGATGCACAGAGAGGGATGGACATGACACAGAGAGGGGCGGAGATGCACAGAGAGGGGCGGAGATGCACAGAGAGGGGCGGAGATGCACAGAGAGGGGCGGAGATGCACAGAGAGGGGCGGAGATGCACAGAGAGGGGCGGAGATGCACAGAGAGGGGCGGAGATGCACAGAGAGGGGCGGAGATGCACAGAGACCCGAAAAGACAGACACCCATCTTGTCCTTCGTCCTCAGCAGACGCGGGTGCCTCGTGAAGACTAAGCGCCCTCTTCAGCTGAAGCATGGCATCACGCATGCACTTGAAACTGTCAAGCTTGCCCACTTATGATTGCCCACTTAAGCTTGCCCACTTATGCTTGCCCACTTAAGCTTGCCCATCTCTAAGGCGCCTCAAACAGACACTCACATTGCCCTTCATCCTCAGCACACGCCCGTGCCTTGTGCAAGCTGAGAGCCCTCTTGAGCTACAGCATGGCATCGCACATGCGCTTGAACTTGTCGCGCTTGCCCACTTTTAAGGCACCTCAAACAGACACTCACCTCTCCCCTCATCCTCAGCAGAAGCGCGTGCCTCGTGCAGGCTGAGGGCCCTCTTAAGCTGCAGCATGGCATCGCGCATGCGCTTGAACTTGTCGCGCTTGCCGGCACTCTCCGCGTCCTCCTGCAGCATCGAATGCAGCTTGTCGTCTGACATGCCGCTCACCGTCTGGTACAGCTTTGTGAGCATGGAATCCCGTGCTCGCTCCACCTGAGATAACACAATCGCCTGTGGTGGTGGTTGGGGATAGCGGGGGGAGAGGAGAGGGAGTGAGCACGGGTATCGAATGCAGCTTGTCGTCCGACATGCCGCTCACCGTCTGGTACAGCTTGGTGAGCATTGAATCCCGCGCTCGCTCCACCTGAGATAATACTATTGCCTGTGGTGGTGGTAGCAGAGAGTGGGGGGAAAGGAGAGGGAGTGAGTGCATGCCGCTCACTGTCTGGTACAGCTTGGTGAGCATCGAGACTCGTGCTCGCTCCACCTGAGATAGTACAATCGGCTGTGGTGGTGGTTGGGGAGAGGGGGGGGTCAGCATTGAATCCCGCGCTCGCTCCACCTGAGATAGCACAAAGGCCTGACTTGTGGTAAGTGCAGGGAGGGGGGGAAGAAGGAAGGAAAGAAAGGAGAGGGAGTGAGGGCACGCATATGTAGCTTCACCGTCTGGTACAGCTTCGTCAGCATCGAGTCTCTCGCTCGCTCCACCTGAGCCAGCACTATGGCATGATGATGGTGGAGGTGGTCGAAAATGCACTATGGCATGATGATGGTGGAGGTGGTCGAAAATGCACTATGGCATGATGATGGTGGAGGTGGTCGTGGCTCTGGTGATTGGAGGGGTGGGAAAGAAACGAGAGAGAGTAAGCGCGTGTCTTGTCTCACTTCAGTCACCTGGCACCTCAACTCCTTCTCGGGATTCTTCCGCTGCTTCACCCGCCAGGCGCACACACACGTAGGCACACAAGCACACAGCAGCACACGCACATAGGCACACATGCACACACACAGCAGCACACGCACATAGGCACACATGCACACACACAGGCGCACACGCACATAGGCACACATGCACACACACAGGCGCACACGCACATAGGCACACATGCACACACACAGGCGCACACGCACATAGGCACACAGGCACACACACAGGCGCACACACACCTTGGCACACAAACACAAACAGAGCCTCACCTTGGGAATGTTGTCAGCCAGGTGAACAAGCACAGCTTGCACGTATCGCCGCACCTCTGTCACCTGCTACCTCAGCTCCTCCTCCGGATTCGCCACCCGCTGCTGCACTCGCCAGGCGCGCACACACATAGGCACACAGGCACACACAGTCTCACACGCACCTTGGGAATGTTGTCTGCCAGGTGCACAAGCACCGCCTGCACGTATCGCCTCACTTCAGTACCTCAGCTCCTCCTCCGAATTCGCCACCCGCCCCGCCCCCACCAGGCGCACACGCACGTAAGCACACAGGCACACAAAGCCTCACCTTGGGAATGTTGTCTGCCAGGTGAACGAGCACCGCTTGCACGTATCGCCGCACCTCTGTCACCTGGTACCTCAGCTCCTCCTCCGGATTCGCCACCCGCCCCGCCCCCTTGCCAGGCGCACACACACATGGGCATACAGGCAGGCACACACACAAGCGCACACGCACATAGGCACACAGGCACACACACAGCCGCACACGCACCTTAGGGATGTTGTCTGCCAGGTGCACGAGCACCGCTTGCACGTATCGCCGCACTTCAGTCACCTGGTACCGCAGCTCCTCCTCTGGATTCGCCACCCGTCCTGCCCCCGCCACCGCTCCCCCTCCCTGCCCCAGCGCCCCCGGCACAATACTCCCCCCACTCCCACCGCCAGCACCAGCAGAATCCCCGTCCCTGCCGGCCCCCTCGTCTCCTGATTGGTCGGTGTCACCCCCGGTGGAGGAGGAAGGGGGGGGAGGAGGCGGGCCCTCCTTGAAGGCCTTGGTGTGGCTGCGCAGGCGCGCCACCCACTGCTGCTTCTCCGCCATGCTGTCTGCTCGCAGGATGAGTGACTGGTGGACTGGTGGGGGACGGACGGGAGCAGGGGGGTGTGGTTGGGGAGAGAGGAGGAAGGGCAGCACGCGGAGGAATGTGATCAGAGAGGGAGAGTGAGCAAGCCTCGCCACTCACTGTTGCCTTCCCGCCATGTTGCCTTCCCGCCATGTTGCCTTTCCGCCATGTTGCCTTTCCGCCATGCTGCCTTTCCGCCATGTTGCCTTTCCGCCATGCTGCCTTTCCGCCATGTTGCCTTTCCGCCATGTTGCCTTCCCGGAGAATGAGTGAATGGTGAACTGCGGGGCGGGGAAAGGGGAGAGTGGGGCGGAGGAGGGAGGCGGAGAGGGAGGGGGAGGCGGGGCGTCCTTGGAGGCCTTGGTGTGGCTGCTTTGGTGCGAATTTTAAGGCGCCTCAAAAGGCTGCTCAGGTGCGCCACCCTCTGCTGCATTTCCGCCAAGTTGTCTGCCTGCAGGATGAGGTGAGCAACTGTTGGACTGGTGGCGGAGGGAGAAAGAGAGGGATTGAGGGAGCCCCACCGCCAATGCAGTTCCCTGCCACGCTGTTTGTTCGTGTGATGCATGGCCAGTGGACTGGAGGAGCGAAGGGGTACGAGAGGGGGGGAGGGCCGGGTTGTGTGGGGGAATGCGACAAGAGGTATGCGATCTGACCCAACTGTCGCCAATGATGACCCAACTTAAACCAGCGTCAACTTATAATTGACTAGCGTTGACCCACCTTTGACCACGGTCTTGTACGGCACTCTGTTGCCAATTTTGAAGGAGAGTGCCTGTGCTGAGGGGTTGGACCCCGCCTTGATGTCCGACGCTGATGGTACCTCTTCTGGGGGCACTATCTCGTCTATTATGCAGTCCTGTAACGACAATAACAGGGACAAAGGCAGGGTAGAGGGAGCTTATTGTGGATTGTACCCTTTTATACTTCCTTTGTTAACACTATTTGGTTCACTAAGCAGTCCAGTAACGATGTTTGCAATAATGAGGACAAAACAGAAGGGAATCAGGAAGATAGAGAATACTTATGGGAAAAGATGTGTCCATGTCTGTCTGCCTTCTGAGAGAAACTTACCAGAACTTTGTTTTCCACTGGCTCAACAAAGCAGATCTTGAAAATAACCACTAAATCTCATCACGCACACCGTTGAAAAGACCAAGTGCCTTACCTCGAGAGAAATGACGCCCCTTGGCGTCTTCCCATCGGGCTTCTTCACATAGTAGAGCTGACAGACACGGTACGGCGGACATGGCGGGAAAGAAGCACTGCACTCCCTCCCCATCCCGCCTCAAAGAGAAAGACATTGGCGCCTTACCTCCAGAGGAATGACGCCCCTGGGCGTCTTCTCATCGGGCTTCTTCACGTAGTAGAGCTGCAGGGACGTGCACGGGGGACACGGCAGAGGAACAAACATGAATAAGAAAAAGGCAGGTGGGTGGAGGGGAAGGGAGAGAGACAGTGTGGTGAGTGGAAGGGGAAGGAGGGAGACGGGTGGTGAGGGGAGGGGAAAAAGGGAGGTAGGAAAGGCAAGTGAGGAAAGTGCTTATTCGTGAAAAAAAAGTGGGGCAAGTGATTACACTGTGTGTGGAGCATAGCATACCCGAGCCGTCTTGTCGCTGAGTGCGAACCAGCGCTTGCTCCACCCCCCCTTGGAGCTCACTTTCCATAAGAACCCTGCCAGGGGCAGCGACAGCGACGGCAGTGACGACAGCAACGGCAGCAATAACAGGAAGGGCCCTATCTGTGTTAGACTCCAGACATAATATGGAAAACAAGAACTTTGCACAAGATTCCTGACAGAGGCGATGACAGCAAGAATCAGGTACAAAACGGATGAAAGCTCTTTCCACAGGAATCCTAACGGGGTGAGCGTAGCAACGACAGCAACAAGCAACAACAACGGCAAAAGCCATCCCAGCCATCCAACCCATCCCAATCCCTCTCAACCTATACGAGCACAGCACAGCACAGCCCCTGCAATGTCCTTCATGGTTGCCAGAGGCTGAGAGGCATCAGCGGAGGGCGGAGGCAGGGTGGAGGCTCCTGCTTGAAACATCCCATCCCATCCCATCCCGTCACAACCCATCCCATCCCATCCCGTCACAACCCATCCCATCCCATCCCGTCCCGTCCCAACCCATTAATAAACAGCACAGCACCTGCAAGCTCCTTCATGGGAGCCAGGGGCTGAGAGGCATCGGTGGGGGGCGGAGGTGGGGGAGGCTCCTTCTTGCGACTGAAGGATGACATGGCAGAGGCAAAGCGACCGCCCCCACTGTCTCCTGTCGACTGGGGTAGGGGAGGGAGTAAGTGGAGGGGTGAGATCACGAAGAGAGAGTGAGGGAGAGGGGAAAACGTATGAACAGAACTAGAAATACAGAAAACCTTTTTGTTTTACAAAGAAAACACAAGAAAAGGAGAGAGCACTTATGGACAGTTCGGAGGACAGAACAGTTCAAGTTCACGGAGCAGGAGAGTGGCCGCGATTCAGAGAATGGGAGAGAGAGGCCACAAGGACAGGGAAGACTCACAGAGCGGGAAAGCACGCCTCTGTCCTGCAGACCCTTGCGAGCCACTTCCAATTCTTTCCATAGCTTCTCCTGCCTGCGGGGGGAAGAGGAAAGAGAGAGAGAGAGGGGAGGGGAGAGGAGGTGTGGGGGTGGGGGATTGAGGCACATCAGCAGTCACCCCCACTTCCAATTCTTTCCATAGCTTCTCCTGCCTGCGGGGGGAAGAGGAAAGAGAGAGAGAGAGAGAGAGGAGGGGAGAGGAGGTGTGGGGGTGGGGGATTGAGTCACATCAGCAGTCACGACTCCGTCAATTCTTCGAAGGCGGGTGGGAAACCCTATACGAAGCGGCTCTAGCAGCTGTCAGCTCCCCGCCACCCCCCCGCCACCAGCCCGATGATTGGGAAGGCGCTCTCAGGCAGAAGGCTTGGCGCGGAAGGGTAGTCTGCGCAGAGCGGTAATGGCACTGGAAGCAACACCAGTGGCCACTCCTTCGCCCGAGGTGCTGGAAGCCCTGAGGTCCAAGCACCCACCGTCCTCTGACGAACCCATAGACTGGACCACCAGCCCAACAGTAACTCCCACCTCCATCGACAAGGCCGCCGTCACGAAGCTCCTGTGCAGAACAGAGAACGGAGTGGGAGCTGGCCCGTCAGGAATGACCTTTGAGCATCTGAGAGATGCGGCCATCACTAACGATGCAGTCAACAGCCACCTCCATGCCCTAGTTAACACCATCATGCGAGGGTCGCTGCCCTCCGAGGTCAATGACTTACTCACCTCCTCCAGGCTCCTTGCCCTCGAAAAGCCTGAAGGAGGAACCAGACCAATAGCAATTGGAGAGTGCCTCCTTCGTCTAGCCGCCAAATCCGCGTTATTTGCCATCGCAGAGGCCGCCCGCTCCTTCTTCCTCCCGATCCAGTTCGGGGTTGCTGTCCAAGGGGGGAGTGAGGCTATTATACATACGGCCCGAGCTTACATGAGCACACACCCGGGCGCCCTTATCCTGCAAGCGGACTTGGCCAATGCCTTCAACAGCATCAGCCGCGGAGCCATAGTCAAGGCCATACGGGGAACGGACCTGGAATGTTTGTTGCCGCTGGTCCGCCTGTCATACGGAGCCCCATCCCACCTGTACCTGGGCGCCGAATACCACAGCGAGCCGCTACTCAGCCAGGCAGGCGTCCGCCAAGGCGACCCCCTTGGCCCACTGTTATTCGCAGCAGGCATGCATCCGGCCCTCAAAGCCACCGCTGCAGCCTTCCCATCCGTCCTCTGCTTAGCCTACGCGGACGACGTGACATTCCTCGGAGCGGCGGACGACTGTGCAGCTGCGTTTAACCACTTCACATCGCTGCTGACGGACGTGGGGCTGATTCACAATCCAACAAAGTGCTCGGCCTGGAGCCAGAGCTTGGAGGACGCGTCAGTCTTACCTGCTGGGGTCCCATTCAAAGCGGAGGGACTCCGCGTCTTGGGGAGCCACATCGGCCCGGAAGAAGGGGCAGCCACATTCCTCCGAGACCAGCTGGCCAAGATGGCCGCGCCACTACCACTCATTGGCGAGTTAGACCCGCAGATAGCCAACCTGCTCCTGACCAAATGCATATCGAGGCGGGTTTCTTACCTAGCCCGCACCACACCGCTCCACCTCCTACCAGAATCAGAATGGTCCCGCTGGGGCCAGGCGCAGCTCCTGACGCTCCTGGACGCCTGCGGTGTTCACCACCCGAGGGGGTTAGCAGAAGAGCAGCGGGTGTGGGGACAGGCCTCACTTCCACCGTCCCTTGGGGGCCTCGGCATAACAGACCCCACGGTCGAGAGCAAATACAGCTTCCTGGCGAGCTTCGTACAGGCGCAGAACTTACTTAGCTCCCTACCGGGACCCGCGGGGCTCTACCTGACCGGCACCTTGGCGCGGCCAGCGGTCGACAGCACAGACCAGCATCAGCTGCAGCGATGGCTACTGGAGTGCGAGGCCGCCTTGGGGGAGGAAGCCGTGGAGCTGCTCGCGAAAGAACGGACTGCACCTACAAACAAGCTGCAGCACAGCCTCGCCCTTGTCGTTCAGGGCAGTCGCTTCGCCGCGCAGTTAGTGGCGTCAAGACAAATGGATCTGAACCCGATGTCAGGACATACGCAGCGGCTACTCTCTCTGACAGGTTTTGGGGCAGGGGACTGGCTGCTTGCCATCCCGTACATGCCCTCCCTCCGCCTCAGCCCGGAACTGTTTGCGTTTGCACTACAATTCCGGCTCGGACTGCCTCTCCCCGTTCCGGACCGCTGCGACTGCCGTGACAGGACCCACATCCTGGACAAACGGCTACCCAACCACCTGCTTCGCTGCGGCACGGGACACGGACGGACAGACACACACAACGGAGTGAGGGATGAGTGTATACGTATGGCACAAGACGCGGGCTTCACTGTGCACAAGGAAACGACAGCGTTCTGCCCGGTAGACAAGCAAAAGGCTGACCTAGCGATTCGGGACCGAACCTCAGGTGCAGTCTCGTTGTGTGACGTCACGGTAACCGACCCGATCAGCAGCCGCGACGAGAATGCAACAAAGGGGAGGGGCTGGATGGCGCGGGAGATGGCAGACAAAAAGATAGAGCACTACAGGACCCGCCTGCCATGGGTGGGATTCTTCCCGCTGGCAGTTGAAACCTACGGGTGTCCATGCGAGGAGGTCCCCGCCTTCCTCAAGATGCTGGCCGATGCAGCGGCTCGCAAGCTTTTCAACGCAGATCCGTCTTCCTACAAGGCGGCAAAGATGATGCATCAGTTCCGGCAGAGATGGTCCATCTCACTGCAGAGAGGACAGGCCCTCAGCTACCTTAAGAAGCTGAACCTTGCGGCACGGGCAGAGAACCCGCCAGTAGGAGGGCCGAAGGGGGTGCTGAACCCGGGGGACTGTTTTGCCACATTGGAGGGCTAGATAGGGAAGAAGATAGTTAGCCAGAATAGGTCATGTTGTGATTATTGGCGCTTGATTGTACCCAACATTCTACATCAATGAAAGGACCATTCGAAAGAGAGAGGAGGGGAGAGGAGGTGTGGGGGTGGGGGATTGAGTCACATCAGCAGTCACCCCTTGCGAGCCACTTCCAATTCTTTCCATAGCTTCTCCTGCCTGGCGGGGGGAAGAGGAAAGAGAGAGAGGAGGGGAGAGGAGGTGTGGGGGTGGGCGATTGAGGCACATTAGCAGTCGCCCCTTGCGAGCCACTTCCAACTCTTTCCACAGCTTCTCCTGCCTGGAAGGCAGAAGAGGAAAGAGTTCAAGAGAGGGGGGTTCTGAGGTTCCTCAAAAAACACCTCGTCCCATCCAACCTCTGCAACCCATCCCAGCCACCCATCCCAGCTCAGCTCATCTCATCTCATCCTCTTCCCACCCATCCCAGCTCAGCTCACCTTTTGTACTCGGCCTCAATGAAGTGCGAGGGCGGCACGAATCCCTTCTCCATGTCCACGATGGCTGTTACCATGCGCTTTGCCTCCGCACGATACTCGTCCAGCGCTGCTGAGGCGATGGCCACCAGCTGGGAGCAAGAGGGATTGGGGAAGGGAGGAAGGTGGGGTGGAGGGGTGTTGGTGGGGAAGAAGGGGAGAAGGCAGTGGAGCGGGTGCTGTGCCCTCGAGCCCTTCTCTCCATGTCCACGATGGCCGTCTCCATGCGCTTCGCCTCCGCGTGATACTCATCCATCGCTGCTCATTCTATGGCCACCAGCTAGGAGTTAGTGGGAGGGGGAAAGGAGGGGTGGGGAGCGGGGTGGGGTGGAAAAAGGGGAGAAGCCAGTGGGAAGGGTGGCATACCCATGGGCCCTTCTCACGAGTGTGAGTGTGGGGAGCGTGGGGAAGGGACGGGGAAGAAGGGACGGGGAAGAGCGGAGGGGCAAAAAGCATGGCACCGTGGCCGTGATGCTATGTGCTCCGACCAATCCCAACGAGGCTATGGCCATGGGGTGGCTATGATAGGGGAAGAGGGGCACGTGAGCTAAAGTTCGATTGCTCCTACTTGCCTTAAACTGAGCCATGGCGGTCAGAAAGGACGAGTGGGAGAGAAAGGGAGGGGGATCGGGAGGGAGAAGGCGTGGGGGCGGGATGAGGAGAGTATTGGTGTTTGGAAAGGGGAGGAGGAAGGATCGAGGGGGCGGCTGCAAAGATGGGTTGAACTGGGAAGCTTATAAGCAGGCACTCACTGTACCTCTGTTTTCATGGGTGGGAACCGGACGAGCGAAGGGGCTTGCGATGCGGCACCTGCAACGATGTCCACGAGAATCTTGTGCACCTGCATGGATGGATGGATATGGCATGGTTAAGAGCAGGTCAAGAGGAGAATGGGGTTTTGAGACGACCCAGAAGGGGCTTGCGATGCAGCACCTGCAACGATGTCCACGAAAATCTTGTGCACCTGCATGCATGGTTGAGTGACATGACATGGTAAAACGGCGGGTTAGGAGAAGGACTGGTTTTTGAGACGCCTCAAAAAGGGCTTGGGATGCAGCACCTGCAACGATGCACCTGCAACAATGTCTACGAGAATCCATCAGGTGCACCTTTTTGCATTGCCCCTGCAACAATGCCATACGCATCCATCGTTGCATGTGGCAGATCCATCACGAGGATCTGCATGGATGCGTATGGCATGGCATGGGAGGAGCAGGTTAAGATGGAAATGGACGTGTGAGAGGTCTAAACACAGCATTTGAGGTGACTTCTGAGGCGCCTCAAAATGCCTCAAAAGTTGAGGCGCCTCAAAAGACGTCTCAAAAGGGGTTTGTGATGCGGCAGCTGCAATGATGTCCACGAGAATCGTGTGCACCTGCGTGGATACGCGTGGCGCGGCACGACATGACAAGAAGAGCAATTAACGAAACATTTTTAAAACATCAACAAGTATGGCATGAGGATGCGCGCCATGGAAGGAAGGATGGCAGGCGGTAAGAGAGAACCCATGTTCGCACACACACACAGGCCCAGCACTGCATGATAAACATCTGGCAACTGCTCCACAAGGAACAAGAACTTGAAGCAAAGCAATCCTCAGCAAAGAAAAGCTCAACTCCTTGCCTTCCCTAGCAGCACTTCGCATTCTGAACTCTTTGCCCCCCTTCACCTTAAACCCTAAACTTTGCGAAGCTTCTGAATCTTCTCACCTCAACTGCATTACAACACAGCCACTTAGTCAAATCCACACTGATTTGGGGCTAGCAGGTGGATTTCAAAGTCATTCCGAATCAGCAATAAATAACCCTTCCTTCTCCTCCCTCTTCTGACCCTCCATCCTTCCCCTCCCACTCCCTCTCACCTCGTCCACACAGTCAATGCCAGGCTGCTTGGCCAGCTCGAAACTCCTTTTGATGAGCAGACAAAGTCAATCAGAGTCAATGACAATCAACGGGAGTAAAAAGCAGTCAGTCCTCTGCTCTCACCTCGTCCACACAGTCAATGCCAGGCTGCTTGGCCAGCTCGAGACTCCTTTTGATGAGCAGACGAAGGCCCTTCTCTGGCGACAGCAGGTATGGCTGGTACCCATCCGCCACCATCACCACCTGATGGGGCAGGAGTGACAGAAAAGAGGAGAGAGAGGGAGGGGGTGGTGAAAGGGAAGGGCAGGAGAGGCAGTCATTCGTTACGTTGACTAGAAATACATCAAAACCCCTTGCTGGCGACAGCAGGTATGGCTGGTAACCATCCGCATCCAAAACCACTTGATGGGGCAACGGCAAGAATGGTGCAAGGGAGTGGTGGGAAGAAGAGACAGACGTCGTTATGTTGACTAGAAATACATGAAGGCCCTTCTCTGGCGACAGCAGGCATGGCTGGTGCCCACCTGCGCCAATCTTCACTATGAGCCAAGAATATCATCAACAGCTCACTCACCTTCTTGACATTGTCAAAGCTGAACATTTCGTCTAGGGGGAGCCCTCTGAAGCGCAGCGGCAGCGTGCCCACAAACTTCTCCACCATCTGCGACCCTCCGCCCTGTGGGTGCAGCAGTGGAGGCGAAGGGGTGCATGGAATGGAAAGAACCAGAACGGGGATTGTTAAAACGTGTTGCTGAAAGAAGGGGCTTGAAGCGCAGAGGCAGTGTGCGCACAAACTTCCCCACCACCTGCGACCCTCCGCCCTGCAGTGCAGGAGGGTGTGGATTCGGGGCAAATTGCGTGCACGGAAGGAATCAAAATCTGTGCTTCAAGGCCTTCACTTCCACCCGTACTCTAGTCCATATCGTACTCCAGTCTATAATCCAGTTCATTTACGTACTCCAGTCCATATTTCGTTCAGGTGAGAAATGAGGAAAAAGAAAAATTCCGCCGCGTCTGTGTTTGGCGATCCCATAGGTAAACCCCGATTGCACGTCGATCTAGGCAGAGAACCACCCGTTGCACCCGTTGTATTTAGCCGTCCAATTAGCCGTATTGCAACGGGTGGTTCTCTGCCTGGATCAACGTGCAATCGGGGTACACCTATGGGATCGCCAGACGCAGACGCGGCCGGTTTTTTTTCACCTGAACGATATATAGACTGGAGTACGTAAACTAAGTGGATTATAGACTGGAATACGATATGGACTAGAGTACGGGTGGAAGTGGAGGACTGTGCACACTAAAGTCAGTCTGCGACAGTTCGAACTTCTCGAAGACAGGGGGAAGAGAATGCAGGGAAAGAATTTTCTTGTGCTTTGATTCTGGCCCAGCGATACAATAAATTGTGGTGAAGTGTCAAAATAAGAAGCATTTCAGTAATGAATAAACACACCTACCGTAGCACGCATACCAATTTAAAAGTTCCATCATGCTTGTGCATGAATACGAAGCATTCGAAAGAATCTCTTGAACCTAATATTGACCCATTATTTCCGATGCTTGAATCAACAGGTTAATCGGCATAGTGCAATATACGATGAGTCTCGGCAAATGGACCGCGAGATACGTAAATCCCGCGCACCACCCACGCGTGCTCCAACCGTTTCACATCGTGATACATCGCCGCCTCGTCGCCTCGCCCATGTCGCAAAGGGAGTTGACGGCAGTGAAAGGGGAGGTGACAGCAATGAAGGGGAGGTGACAGCTCTGAAGGGGGGTTGACTGCAGTGAAAGGGGATGTGATTGCAGTAACGGAAGGGGACGGGCGGGGACGGGCGCGGCACGGGGGCGAGGGGACGAGCGCGGCGCGAGGGTGGCCGTGCGGCGGGGCGCGCCGCCTTCCCGCCTTGGGAAACGTTGGCAGGAGGCAGCAGGTACGTGTGCAACTGCAACTGCCTGGTGCGATCGAGTGTGGTTGAGTGTGGTGGGGTCGAGCGCGGTTGAGTGTGGTTGAGTGCGGTTGAGTGAGGTTGAGTGCGGTATCTGCCCGGGAGCGCTCTACTTGTGCGCGCGTAAAGCGGTGAGCGCTGCCTGTGCGCTCGCTGTTGTGCGCGATGTAGTGCGCGCGCTCTGCTGTGCATGCTGCGGTGTGCACTGCTCTAGGTAGATGCTCAACTTTGCAACATTCCGCTTCCCCCCACCCCTCCCCGCCATTCCGCCACGTCAGCCTTCGGATCTGCGCCATGCTGCTTGCCCCTGAGGGGGATCCAGACGCCCTTGCCATGTGATGCTCACCTAAGTTTCGCACGGGGTGCGGCACGACGCGGCGCTGGGGCGCGGCACGGCGCGGCGTTGGGACGCTTTGCGCGGCAGAAGCAGCGATAACGGCACCTGAGTCAGCAGCAGTTGCAGCAGTTCCGTCCTGCCTTGCACCTCACCTCCAGACACACACCTGAATCCCATCCAGGTTCGAGTGCTCGCAGAACTTGGTCTCCGGCCCTCGGCACAACTCCAACACGCAGGCACACAAGCCGTTGAGGCCGGACAAAAGGGAGCCGTCGTTTCCTCTTACCTCGCCCCTCCATCCCACCTTGCAACACCCCAACATAATGTGGCCCCCCTTTCAACCCTCCAAGCACATGCACCTCACTGCCATCCACGTGTTCGCAGAACTTGGTCTCAAACCCTCGGCACAGCTCCAGGGCGAGCGCACGCGAGCCATTCAGGCTGGAGACCAGGGAGCTGCCCTTTCTCCCCACCTGCACCACCACCTTGCAACACCCATGATGTCCGCACCCTTCCCCAACACACGCACCTCACTGCCATCTAAGTGTTCGCAGAACTTGGTCTCAAACCCTCGGCACAGCTCCAGGGCGAGCGCACGCGAGCCGTTGAGGCTTGAAACCAGGGAGTCTCCCAGCCTGAGTAGCTCCGCATCCACCTCCTGAGACCGACCCTCCAAGCTGAAAGGGGTTGAGGGAGCGGGAGAGGAGCCGGGGCGGGCGGGGGAGGTAAGGTAAGAATGCATGGATACCAGAGGCCGTTGAGGCTGAACACGAGAGAGTCTCCCAGCCTGAGTAGCTCTGCATCCACCTCCTGGGACCGGCCCTCCAGGCTGATGGGAACAGGGAGGAGGGATGGGGGGTTAGCGAGCCCCTGAATGGAAGGCAGAGGGGAATCACCCAGCCTGAGTAGCTCCGCATACACCCCCTGAGACCAACCCTCCAAGCTGATGGGAACAGGGAGGAGGGATGGGATGGGGGGTTAGCGAGCCCCTGGGTGGAAGGCAGAGGGGAATCACCCAGCCTGAGTAGCTCCGCATCCACCTCCTGAGACCGACCCTCCAAGCTGATATGGGAGTCGAGGGGGTAGGAGGAGGCGGGGAGCCGGGCAATAGAAGAGGGGTTGGAAAAGGGGGGTAGGAGAATGCATGGATACCGGAGGCCGCTGAGGCTGGACACGAGAGAGTTTCCCAGCCTGAGTAGCTCCGCATCCACCTCCTGAGACCGAACCTCCAGGCTGATATGGAGGTTGAAGGGGTAGGAGGAGGCGGGGAGCCGGGCAACAGGGGAGAGGTTGGAAAACGGGGGTGGGAGAATGTATGGATTCTGGAGGCCGTTGAGGCTGGAGACCAGGGAGTCAACCAGGTGATATTTAAGTATTTTTGAGACGTTTCAAAAACACTTAAATATCACGAGACAAGGGAGTCAACCAGCCTGAGTGGTTCCGTGTCCACGCCCTGAGGCCGACCCTCCAAGCTGTGAGGAGCAGCTTGGACGGGGGAAGGAGGGGGGACGCGAGGGGAAGGAGTGGAGCGAGGGGAAATAGAGGGAAAGAGAGGGAGAGGATTGCAGAAAGGTGGGGGAAAGGAGGGGGTAAGAAGGCAGGAGAGAGAGGGTTTTGGCGAGCCAGTGAGAGTGAGCGAGCGAGTGAGAGTGAGCGAGTGAGAGTGAGCGAGCGAGAGTGAGCGAGCAAGAGTGAGTGAGTGGAGAGGGTAAGATGGGGTTGGAGAGGGTAAGAGGGGGTGGGAGAGCCTTACGCGGACATGATGCAGGGAATCTTCTCCTTCATCTTGTGCCGCACGGTGCCTTTATTGACGCGCCTCAAAAACAGAGTGAGAGGATGAGACGAGAGAGCCTTACGCGGACATGATGCGGGGAATCTTCTCCTTCATCTTGTGCCGCACGGTGCCTTTATTGACGCGCCTCAAAAACAGAGTGAGAGGATGAGACGAGAGAGCCTTACGCGGACATGATGCAGGGAATCTTCTCCTTCATCTTGTGCCGCACGGTGCCTTTATTGACGCGCCTCAAAAACAGAGTGAGAGGATGAGACGAGAGAGCCTTACGCGGACATGATGCGGGGAATCTTCTCCTTCATCTTGTGCTGCACGGTGCCTTTATTGACGCGCCTCAAAAACAGAGTGAGAGGATGAGACGAGAGAGCCTTACGCGGACATGATGCGCGGAATCTTCTCCTTCATCTTGTGCTGCACGGTGCCTTTATTGACGCGCCTCAAAAACAGAGTGAGAGGATGAGACGAGAGAGCCTTACGCGGACATGATGCGGGGAATCTTCTCCTTCATCTTGTGCTGCACGGTGCCTTTATTGACGCGCCTCAAAAACAGAGTGAGAGGATGAGACGAGAGAGCCTTACGCGGACATGATGCGCGGAATCTTCTCCTTCATCTTGTGCTGCACGGTGCCTTTATTGACGCGCCTCAAAAACAGAGTGAGAGGATGAGACGAGAGAGCCTTACGCGGACATGATGCGCGGAATCTTCTCCTTCATCTTGTGCTGCACAGTGCCTTTATTGACGACGCGCCTCAAAAACAGAGTGAGAGGATGAGACGAGAGAGCCTTATGCGGACATGATGCGGGGAATCTTCTCCTTCATCTTGTGCTGCACGGTGCCTTTATTGACGCGCCTCAAAAACAGAGTGAGAGGATGAGACGAGAGAGCCTTACGCGGACATGATGCGCGGAATCTTCTCCTTCATCTTGTGCTGCACGGTGCCTTTATTGACGCGCCTCAAAAACAGAGTGAGAGGATGAGACGAGAGAGCCTTACGCGGACATGATGCGGGGAATCTTCTCCTTCATCTTGTGCTGCACGGTGCCTTTATTGACGCGCCTCAAAAACAGAGTGAGAGGATGAGACGAGAGAGCCTTACGCGGACATGATGCGCGGAATCTTCTCCTTCATCTTGTGCTGCACGGTGCCTTTATTGACGCGCCTCAAAAACAGAGTGAGAGGATGAGACGAGAGAGCCTTACGTGGACATGATGCGCGGAATCTTCTCCTTCATCTTGTGCTGCACGGTGCCTTTATTGACGCGCCTCAAAAACAGAGTGAGAGGATGAGACGAGAGAGCCTTACGCGGACATGATGCGCGGAATCTTCTCCTTCATCTTGTGCTGCACGGTGCCTTTATTGACGCGCCTCAAAAACAGAGTGAGAGGATGAGACGAGAGAGCCTTACGCGGACATGATGCGCGGAATCTTCTCCTTCATCTTGTGCTGCACGGTGCCTTTATTGACGCGCCTCAAAAACAGAGTGAGAGGATGAGACGAGAGAGCCTTACGCGGACATGATGCGCGGAATCTTCTCCTTCATCTTGTGCTGCACGGTGCCTTTATTGACGCGCCTCAAAAACAGAGTGAGAGGATGAGAAGAGAGAGCCTTACGCGGACATGATGCGCGGAATCTTCTCCTTCATCTTGTGCTGCACGGTGCCTTTATTGACGCGCCTCAAAAACAGAGTGAGAGGATGAGACGAGAGAGCCTTACGCGGACATGATGCGCGGAATCTTCTCCTTCATCTTGTGCTGCACGGTGCCTTTATTGACGCGCCTCAAAAACAGAGTGAGAGGATGAGACGAGAGAGCCTTACGCGGACATGATGCGGGGAATCTTCTCCTTCATCTTGTGCTGCACGGTGCCTTTATTGACGCGCCTCAAAAACAGAGTGAGAGGATGAGACGAGAGAGCCTTACGCGGACATGATGCGCGGAATCTTCTCCTTCATCTTGTGCTGCACGGTGCCTTTATTGACGCGCCTCAAAAACAGAGTGAGAGGATGAGACGAGAGAGCCTTACGCGGACATGATGCGCGGAATCTTCTCCTTCATCTTGTGCTGCACGGTGCCTTTATTGACGCGCCTCAAAAACAGAGTGAGAGGATGAGACGAGAGAGCCTTACGCGGACATGATGCGCGGAATCTTCTCCTTCATCTTGTGCCGCACGGTGCCTTTATTGACGCGCCTCAAAAACAGAGTGAGAGGATGAGACGAGAGAGCCTTACGCGGACATGATGCAGGGAATCTTCTCCTTCATCTTGTGCCGCACGGTGCCTTTATTGACGCGCCTCAAAAACTGAGTGAGAGGATGAGACGAGAGAGCCTTACGCGGACATGATGCAGGGAATCTTCTCCTTCATCTTGTGCCGCACGGTGCCTTTATTGACGAGCCTCAAAAACAGAGTGAGAGGATGAGATGAGAGAGCCTTACACGGACATGATGCAGGGAATCTTCTCCTTCATCTTGTGCCGCACGGTGCCTTTATTGACGCGCCTCAGAAACAGAGTGAGAGGATGAGACGAGAGAGCCTTACGCGGACATGATGCGGGGAATCTTCTCCTTCATCTTGTGCTGCACGGTGCCTTTATTGACGCAAGCCTCAAAAACAGAGTGAGAGGATGAGACGAGAGAGCCTTACGCGGACATGATGCGGGGAATCTTCTCCTTCATCTTGTGCTGCACGGTGCCTTTATTGACGCGCCTCAAAAACAGAGTGAGAGGATGAGACGAGAGAGCCTTACGCGGACATGATGCGCGGAATCTTCTCCTTCATCTTGTGCTGCACGGTGCCTTTATTGACGCGCCTCAAAAACAGAGTGAGAGGATGAGACGAGAGAGCCTTACGCGGACATGATGCGGGGAATCTTCTCCTTCATCTTGTGCTGCACGGTGCCTTTATTGACGCGCCTCAAAAACAGAGTGAGAGGATGAGACGAGAGAGCCTTACGCGGACATGATGCGCGGAATCTTCTCCTTCATCTTGTGCCGCACGGTGCCTTTATTGACGCGCCTCAAAAACAGAGTGAGAGGATGAGACGAGAGAGCCTTACGCGGACATGATGCGCGGAATCTTCTCCTTCATCTTGTGCTGCACGGTGCCTTTATTGACGCGCCTCAGAAACAGAGTGAGAGGATGAGACGAGAGAGCCTTACGCGGACATGATGCGGGGAATCTTCTCCTTCATCTTGTGCTGCACGGTGCCTTTATTGACGCAAGCCTCAAAAACAGAGTGAGAGGATGAGACGAGAGAGCCTTACGCGGACATGATGCGGGGAATCTTCTCCTTCATCTTGTGCTGCACGGTGCCTTTATTGACGCGCCTCAAAAACAGAGTGAGAGGATGAGACGAGAGAGCCTTACGCGGACATGATGCGCGGAATCTTCTCCTTCATCTTGTGCCGCACGGTGCCTTTATTGACGCGCCTCAAAAACAGAGTGAGAGGATGAGACGAGAGAGCCTTACGCGGACATGATGCGCGGAATCTTCTCCTTCATCTTGTGCTGCACGGTGCCTTTATTGACGCGCCTCAGAAACAGAGTGAGAGGATGAGACGAGAGAGCCTTACGCGGACATGATGCGGGGAATCTTCTCCTTCATCTTGTGCTGCACGGTGCCTTTATTGACGCAAGCCTCAAAAACAGAGTGAGAGGATGAGACGAGAGAGCCTTACGCGGACATGATGCGGGGAATCTTCTCCTTCATCTTGTGCTGCACGGTGCCTTTATTGACGCGCCTCAAAAACAGAGTGAGAGGATGAGACGAGAGAGCCTTACGCGGACATGATGCGCGGAATCTTCTCCTTCATCTTGTGCTGCACGGTGCCTTTATTGACGCGCCTCAAAAACAGAGTGAGAGGATGAGACGAGAGAGCCTTACGCGGACATGATGCGGGGAATCTTCTCCTTCATCTTGTGCTGCACGGTGCCTTTATTGACGCGCCTCAAAAACAGAGTGAGAGGATGAGACGAGAGAGCCTTACGCGGACATGATGCGCGGAATCTTCTCCTTCATCTTGTGCCGCACGGTGCCTTTATTGACGCGCCTCAAAAACAGAGTGAGAGGATGAGACGAGAGAGCCTTACGCGGACATGATGCAGGGAATCTTCTCCTTCATCTTGTGCCGCACGGTGCCTTTATTGACGAGCCTCAAAAACAGAGTGAGAGGATGAGATGAGAGAGCCTTACACGGACATGATGCAGGGAATCTTCTCCTTCATCTTGTGCCGCACGGTGCCTTTATTGACGCGCCTCAGAAACAGAGTGAGAGGATGAGACGAGAGAGCCTTACGCGGACATGATGCGGGGAATCTTCTCCTTCATCTTGTGCTGCACGGTGCCTTTATTGACGCGCCTCAAAAACAGAGTGAGAGGATGAGACGAGAGAGCCTTACACGGACATGATGCGCGGAATCTTCTCCTTCATCTTGTGCTGCACGGTGCCTTTATTGACGCGCCTCAAAAACAGAGTGAGAGGATGAGACGAGAGAGCCTTACGCGGACATGATGCGGGGAATCTTCTCCTTCATCTTGTGCCGCACGGTGCCTTTATTGACGCGCCTCAAAAACAGAGTGAGAGGATGAGACGAGAGAGCCTTACGCGGACATGATGCGAGGAATCTTCTCCTTCATCTTGTGCCGCACGGTGCGAGCAATCAGCCGCAGCAACGCATCGCGACCCATGGGCGTGTCCATGCCCTTCACTCCATTCGCCCGCATCACCTGCCACGCAAGGCATGCAATGCGAGCAAGAGAGTGTTTTGAATGCATGACGAAACAGGCGAGGAAGCTCTCCTTCACCTCAAAGCGTCGCGACCCATGGGCGTGTCACTCCATTCGCCCGCATCACCTGCCACGCAAGACATGCAATGCATGAAGCAACAAATGGGCGAGACAAGGTAGTATTCTCCTTCATCTCATCCCCTCCTCCTGACCCATTGGCATCCCCATGCCTTCACTCCATTCGCGTGCATCACCTGCCATGCAAGGCATGCAAGGCATGAAGCAACAAATGGGCGAGACGAGGTGATTTCCTCCTTCGTCTCATCCCGTCCTGACCCATCGGCATCCCCGTGCCTTCACCCCATTCGCGAGGCATCAGCAGCAATGCATCGCAAGAACAACGAACAAAACATGAGTTATTTACCAATGCCTGAGACAAAGCACAATCCACACCACCACATCACAACACGCACCTGAGACAGGACCTTGAACTCCTCCTGCCATGCACCATCCATGGGCTCGTTTGTGTCCTTGTCCCCCAGCGGCTGTCCAATCACCGCCACCCACGGGTAGTCCTGAGCCATGGCCGCCCCCTGCCTCTGCAGCAGATCCACTGCCAGCTTCGCCGTGTCTCTGTCCTTCATGACTTGGTCGAATTTCGTGATCACTCCAATCGTTCTCACACCTGAGGTTGGTGGCACAGAAAGAGATAAAAGAAGGTGCGTTCTGACTCAGTCCAACCTGCCTCTGCAGCAGGTCCACTGCCAGCTTCGCTGTATCTCTGTCCTTCATGACTTGGCCAAACTTCGTAATCGCTCCAATCGTTCTCACACCTGCATTGGGACGGACGGTTGGAAACATAAACGAAGAGCCAACACCAGGATGACTGCGCTGATGAGGCGCCTAAGATGCAGACCGCGGCAGCACGAGTTCACATTCACGCCCTCCACTCACCTTCTCTGTCAATGTCGTGCGCAGTGCAGAGAATCTTAAGAGCGCCTCTTGCCTGCATTGGTGGAGGTGAGGTGACCTATGAGAATCTCAAGAACGTCTCTCAACGGCCATCCCATGCCCATGCCCCCACTCACTCACTCACCCTCTTTGTCGATGTCGTGTGCGATGTGGGGGATCTTGAGAGAGTCCTTTACTGCCGTGGCAGAGACAAGGTGACTGAGTCAGCTCAAAATTCATCCCATGCCCCCACTCACTCACCTTCTCTGTCAATGTCGTGCGCAATGCGGAGAATCTTGAGGGAGTCCTTGACTGCCGTGGCAGAGACCACCACCAGGATGACTGCATCGTTGTTGGACACGTTGTCCTGGAACTGCACTCATGCATGCACGCGTGGGGAACAACGGAATCCAAGTGTGTGGTAGTACAGGGCACGTTGTCAGAACCAGTCTGTGATGCTGGCTTCACTAGAGCCGTCTCACACCAAGATGACTGCATCGCTGCATCGCTGTTGGGCACCTCGTCATTGTCTGCGCTAGAGCCGAACGGAACAAGTAACCAAATACAATTCAACAAGACAAGAAACAACGAGTCGTATACAAAACAATACAAGCGATTCGCAGTGGCATGGCATGGGAGAGGGAAGGCTTACTGCTCCGTCCATTTGAGACGCCTTCTCAATGCCAGGCAGGTCAATGATGCGCATTGGGGGGGCTGTAGGAGGGGGACAAGGCACAGCAGGGGCCAAAAGGACGCACAGGAGAAGGACACAGTGACTGAGGGGAATGCAAAAACAAACTTGGAGAATGTAGAGAAACACACCACACCACACCACACCACACCACTCTGGGATGCAGTAGTTCTGCTCAGGCTGCAAAGAGAAAGGTGAACACTCATGAGATGCAAGTCGAAGAGGGAAGGAAGGAAGGAGGGACAGACAGACCACTTGGCGAGCGGAGAATGCACAGGGATCAGACAGCTTTTGGACAAAGTAGTTCCTTTTACATTCGTAGATCACAAAAGAACAGCTGAAAAGAGCGAAGGAGGGGGACGGGCGGACCGATTGGCGAGCGGAGGATGAGCTGCGCCTCCTCTCTGTGCCTGGATGAGCCCTTGGCCTTGCTCATGTCCGACTGCAGTGCCTGCCGGATCTCCGCTGCTCACAGATAGAGAGAGAGGTACGCGGGGAGGAAAGGGAAGGGACTGACTGGTGAGTGCAGGACAAGCTGAGCCTCCTCTCTGTGCCTGGACGATCCCTTGGCCTTGCTCATATCGGACTGCAGTGCTTGACGAATATCCGCTGCTCACAGAGAGAAAAACGCCGACGGCAGAAAAGAGAGAAGGACAGGCGAACGTTTCACTCTCAGATTGCCGTAACTGGAAGCCTTCTTTCGAATGACCACCAGAGTCAACAGTTACCTTAGCACTCCTGGAGTTTACTGAAACACAAAATCAGAGCACCAGGCCAGACAATGAGCCATATGAGTTAGTCACCCCTGGCAAGGGTTTGCTCTTACAAGGCTTGGGCATGTTGGTTCGGGCGCCCAGATTGGCGCGCACAGAGCCGCCTTTTGAGGCGCCTCAAAAATAGGAAACCAGGGCAGTCCATGGGTCATTTGAGTTATTTACCCCTAGAAAGAGTTTGCTCTTACATGGCTTGGGCATGTTGGTTCGAGCGCCCAAATTGGCGCGCACAGAGCCGCCTTTTGAGGCGCCTCAAAAATAGGAAACCAGGGCAGTCAATGAGCCATTTGAGTTATTTACCCCGAGAAAGAGTTTGTTCTTACATGGCATGGGCATGTTGGTTCGGGCGCCGAGATTGGCGCGCACAGAGCCAGCCGAGAGGTTCGGGTCGCGATGCAAGTCGACCAGCACTGGGAAGCGCGTGCACCCGCCCTCTCCTGTTGGCTGAGAGAATAACACAGCAAGGAAAAGTTGGTAGAGGAAGCAAAAGTTTGGAAAACGAAACACAATACAGGACAGAAAGCAGAGGAGTCAGAGATCAGCCAGAAGAGCATTAAGTGGGTTCTGATTGCGGTGCAAAGGTGTGCATGCATTAAAAGCAACAGAAAGAGATACAGGTTAGTAAACGGATTGCGGGTGACAATGAGATGCATCCAGGATGACAACAATGAAAGCAAATAAGAAGAAAAGTTGTCAGAAGAAAATACTTGTCCTATCAAAGTCACCAGTGGAACTACGATGAACCGCCTCAACAGTCACCAGCAAGTATTGACTCGACTCAGGAGTCACCAGCAACTGAACAAATCTAGTTGCAAAAGACAAAATCAAGTACATCGTGTCAGACGTTGAAAAAAACTTTAATACTTTATTCACCGACATACCAGAACGGCATGGCCGATGAGCGTGTTGAGAACAGCCGACTTCCCTGAACCCTGCAGGTAATACGGGGAAAGCAAAACGACTACCAGACTTGAAACTCATGAAGAACAAATATTCAACAGGGAGAAGAGACCGACGGAAGAAGCATGTGAGAATGAAAGCTTAATCATTGCTACGGTGCCCTGCAGATAGTGTCAATAGTCGGACATTGACACGCCGTTCATGACAAAGTGTCGTACGCAACGGGATCATGTCCGAGTACATCGTACGCGAAGGCATCACAATAGCCTGTCGTACGTGTCGGACATCATGATCGAACGTGTCGTACGCCGAGGCATCGCAATAATGTGTCAAATGCAAACTCACGTGTCCCGAAGCGCGGACGACGGTCAGCAGGATGGGAGCAAAGCAGTGTCCTATGATATGAAAACAAGCGTCGTGCTTCCCTGTCGACTAAGAAACGTGGTAACTCTGAGTCCCGAAGGTCGTACGGCTGTGTCGACTCGACGAGAATCGTACGCGTCGAATCAACAAGCAACGTACATCTGCGTCGACTCCAAGAGCATCGTACGTACGACTGCGTTAACTGAACGAGCATCGTACCGGCGCGCCGATGACCAAGAGCTGGATGACGGGAGCCGACCCTGATCGAGGGTCCGCCTGGATGTCGTCTCCCACGAGCGCCGACGACGCCTGCTGTAACGTCTCGCCTAACGATATTAGGTCGTCCATGTGAACCTACTGACTAATCGCAATAGTCGCAAGATTGCGATAGTCGTAGTGGATGCCACTATAATCGCGACGGACACAGCAACGGTTGGACGGAGTGACAATGAGCGAAACAAAATAGTCTGACGAACCACCGCCGCAGCGATTAGTGAACTGTGATTGTCAAGTCAGCTGGATAATTCAAAACACGATTATTTCGAGGGATCACAAGAGATGATCAGCCGGAGAGCACGCCTGAGCTAGCCAGCAGCCGAATAGGCATGCATGGACCATGGAGCTCACATGAGCAGCTACAAGCGGAATCCCGCGCGCTAGAGACCCAGCTGCTCAGACGAGCATGTACGTCCGTTTGAACACGCCATATATTCCCAAGACTGCTCGGTGATTCTCACATACAGATTCATGTCTGTTGTGTGTTCAGCCGACCCTCTGCGAGACGTCTGCAAATGGCGAAATTGGTTACCACAGGAGGGCACCCCTTTTGTCCCAAAAAGCAATTTCAAGGCCAGACGAAGAAGCTCCCAAGGCTGGCGGGAGAGTGGAGAACAGATCAGAGATCAAGACTGAACATCTTTCGAGCAGCGTCCGATATGCCGTGCCCGTGACATTTCGTACAAAAGCCTGATCAAAGCCCAGCTTCCACGGTTGGTGTGGAAAGCTGCTGTATAAGGGGTACGGTATACACTGCGCTAACATAAGAATTGCATATTCCTTATCTACACTTAATGGGCACTCAGTTAGACTTGTTGATGCCAATGAGATGGAGAAATATCATCTTCGTGAAAACTTGTTCTCAAAAAATCTTCAGCCATCTCCCATATTGATACCCCAAGTGAAGCCTACTGTCCTCCTGCTCGTGAACGTTCCCTACGGCTTGTGTGCTGCAATGGATACAGTCAGACCATCTCCTAGTCTCAGCAGCCATGATCCTGTGCCTGGCTCTTACGAACAACCTCCCTGCAAAAAACAACCACCTGGTGAGCGCGTATAACTATCCCTGGCGAGTTTGGACCAACTCAGCGCCCTTGATTATCGAGCATGGTCTTGAGCTCCTTCAACCGCTGCATGCCCTCGCTCATGTAGAACCGTATTTTGCTGATGTCGCTCTCCCCCACATGCTTCTCTGCTTCGTCTCGAATTATCTTCTGCAGATCAGCTGCTTGGAGCGAAAAGAACAAGCAGACAAAGCAAAAGACATTGGATTACATTATAAAAGAGAGTAAAAGTGGACTAGGCCAGCACACAGCACCTCTATCTAACAAATCTATTCACCAGTTGCGTAACAAGCAGTGCCTTGCCTAAAGCATTGACTCTTTGGAGCAGCAATGCACCTCGTCATTCCCGAGGTGCGAATTGCGCCGTCCGGAGAGCATCTCGGTAAAGCACCTTCACTTTCGCTTGAAGCACCTCTAAATTCAGGCGGAGCGTCCCACAGCCCGGAGAGCATCTCGGTAGAGCGCCTTCACTCTCGCTATAAGCACTAAATGAAGGAATATTATGGAGAGCACTACGACGGCGAGAGAGATTCTGCTTATGGGAATGATGTTGCGCTAGGAATTCGGTAGCGTTTGGGTAGCGTTGGTCTCAAATGACTAAGTGAGAATTTGAGTAGAGATTGGACTTCACTAGGAAAATAGAATATATGAAACACACAAGCAAACACAAACATATAAAGGCAAGCAAGCGTTCACAAAAGGTAGCGAGGGCGCTGCGAGTAACCCAACCCACACGAAAGTGCTGTGGGAGTTGGCGAACGCGCCCCGCCAAACTTCCATCCAACTCAGCAGCGAAAACCTTCCGAGCACGCAACTCCATCCGACTCAGCTTGGGAGTGGCGTGCCTCATAAGGAAGCACACAAAGACTCCCACGACTCTACTTCCCAGCACCGACTTCAGCAGATTCCTTACTGCAGCTCGCATTCACCCGTAGTCACACTTGACTGCCATCGAACCTGTGCGACGGTGCCGAGTAGACCAGGTCGTCGGTCGTCAACCTGCCAAGTCTAACATTTCGCGAGGGCCCTTGCTGTCGTAGGGCCCTCTAACACTAAACGCAAATTCAAAAGTTTTCGCGGCGTGCACTAAGCGTAGTATATGGTCAGCAACCGCACCTCGGGATTCAGGCGGCGCGAGTCGCGCAGTCCTGAGAGCATCCCGGTAAAGCGCCTTCGCCTTCGCCTGAAGCACGAAATGCTGCAGCGACAACCCTGTCCGTGGCCTCATGCCTCCGTTAAAAGAATCATCCCTATGCTTTCGTTAACAGCACATGATCGCAAAGCCAGGAGGCAAGCTCGTGTCAGATACGGGAGGAATCACGACGCAAGACTAGGAGAATGATGATGGGGCAGGGCTTGGCTTTGGTCAGTCTAGCCTAGTACTACTTGGCGCGGTAATCGCGTTAGAGAGGGAATCTGCTACAGGTTTTGGCGATCAGTGTCTATTGGCTTTAGGAGCATTACTCTCGTTTGAGGATTGAGGGGTTGAGTTGCATTCCAATGCATGGCAGTACTGTGCAGCGAAACTCAACCATGTTACCAATTGTATTTGGCAAACTCACAAGCACCCCACATAAAGAAATGTCATTGCGGAAGCAGCTTGCGCAACGTAAGAGAGATTCTTTCTTGTCTAGCCACTTGCTTCCCCTCCCATTGCTGGTGCTCATCATCTCTAATTATACCATGAGTCCAATTGTACCTAGCAGGGCCCGAAAACAGCAGCAGATCCCCAGGAGCAAGGAGCACTGGGAGGGAAAACCCAAGATCATAAGGACGGTCTGACGATCTAGCAGCAGTAGACGGTGCATCTGCAGCATCAGAAAGGGGCATTGCTGCAATGGATGAGGGCCGTTGATCCGGGAAGCCAGGAAGGGAAGAGGGCGGACTTGCAGTGGCAGTGGTGGGGATGGTGCTGGTGGGGGTGGCAGTGGTGGTTGGGGTGGGGTTGGAAGCGGTGGTGGTGGGTGGAGTGGGAGCAAGGGTCATGATGCAGGGAGAGAGGAGGGAGAGAATGGCGATGCCATCATCGAATCGCATCAAGTCCACATGCGGCTTGATACCCTGTGCCACCTCAGCAATGGGAGGGCGGATGGGTGAATGCGTGCCACATCAGCAACAGGTGGATGGATGCAGGCCATGCCACGGATGGTTGAGCGGGAGAAATGGGGATAATGGGGGACATGGGAATAGGAAAGGGTGTGTGCATGGGGAAGGACATGTGGATCAGTGAGGACATGTGGACATGTGGATAGGGGATGGTATGTGGACATGTGGACATGTGGATAGGGGATGGTATGTGGACATGTGGACAGGAGAGGACGTGTAGATAGAAAGGGGAAGAGATGGGAAGAGACCTCACGCTCAGTGTGGTGACTCAGGAGGGACTCATGAGTAGATGGGTGCATGGGTGAATGGATGGATGGGAGGATGGGTGGGTGGGTGGGTCGTTGGGTGGGTGGGTGAGTGGGTGGAATGATGAGTGGGTGGGTGAATGCAGGAGTGGAGGGATGAGAGGACGTGAGGCACGGGCCGTTGGAAGGATGGGATGGGTGAGAGAAACATCTCACTTCGTCTCCGCTGTACCAGTTGGCGATCATCTGGTCGAACAGAGGCTCTCGCTTCGCTGCAGCACACGCCGTGCATGGATGGGTGGGTGAATGGGTGAATGGATGTATGGGAGGATGGGAGGCATGGTCGAGTCTAGAACAGAGCCTCACCTCGTCTCCACTGTACCAGTTGGCGATCATCTGGTCGAAATGGGGCCCTCATTGCAGCACGTCGTGAAGGGGTGTGTGGGAGAGTGAATGGATGTATGGGAGGATGGGAGGCATGGTCGAGTCTAGAACAGAGCCTCACCTCGTCTCCGCTGTACCAGTTGGCGATCATCTGGTCGAACAGGTGCTCTCGCTGCAGTACACGCTGAGACAGCGGCTGCGCTTGTAACTGCTCAGCTTCGTCAGCTTCAGGTCCACCCGCCTGCAATTGCTCACTTCCAACGTTGAAGTCAGTCCCAGCCTTCTCAGGTTCGGCTCTGACAACACGGTAGAGCTCGGCATTAGCATGCTTGCCTGAAAGCGCGTCCTCAAGGCCGTTCACTTCCTGCAATTCTCCTCCCTCTTGCTCCTGCACACCTCTCCTCTCTTCCCTTCTCGACGCATTCTCCAAGTCTCCCTCATGCACTCCTTTCTTCTGCCTTTTCCGACAACCACTCCTCACGTGCTCTTCTTCGTCCCCACTTCCTCCCCCCAATTGTCCCTCCTCGCTACCTTCTACAGTCAAATCACTCCCACCCCCCGCACCATTCCCCCCTCCTCCACTCTTCTCACGCAGCCCCCTCCCACAGCAAGCAGCACCATCACCCCAACCTCCATCCCTCTCCTCACTCATCAACCCACAAGCACCATCCACTCCACTAGCAGCAATCGCTCCATCCCCTCTAGTAGCTTCTCCATTACACCAGCGCGTGTGAGCCAGACTGCCCACAGAAGCCACCCTGGAACCTGCTGCTACTGCACCAGCAGTGATAATGCCATGATCAGCCACTGCGGCAGTAGAAGCAGCAGCATGCGTTTTCTGGCTCAAAACAGCAGCGTCTGCAACAGCAGGAACAGCTGCAGTGTCAGCAGCGACAGCAGCAGCAGCAGCAGCAGCAGCATCAGCAGGAATAGCAGGAACAACATCAGGAGGAGCAGCAGCAGCAGCATCGGCAGGAATAGCAGGAACAACATCAGGAGGAGCGGCAGCAGCACCAGGAGCAGCAGCAGCAGCAGCAGCAACGGCAGCAGTGGAGACTAGAGCTTGTTCAGAAGCAGCAGCTCGGATAAGCTGGGTCAGGCGAGCAGCAATAGGGGGAAGGTTACCAAACCGCATGGCCTGAGGGAGGGATTGAAAGGCAGAGCAGAGCGATGCCAACAGCTGAGCGGGTAGAGTGGGGCACCTTGAAGGTTTGACATAGAAAAACGCTGTTTAACAAAAAGGAATTACGATGGCGTTGGAAGATAATGTGATGTGGACAATGTGGAACACACAAAAAACGGGGAAAAAAAAAGAGCATGGGAGCAAATGAGAGATGCATGCCAGTGTATGTTTACAATAAAGGCCTACGATAAAAAAAAATCACCTGAATTTTCTCGGAGCTTGTTCAATGTCATGCACTTCTTTACCTGGTTTTTTACAGGTGGGTCGAACCATTTTTCTGACGCATAGCAAAATTTGAACACATGACATTGTAGAAAGGAGGGACACAGAGTGAAAAGAGTTGGAGAAAGTATTGAATATACGTAACAGAAACTGCAGTACTGATTTGATCAACCTCAACCCAGAAATGTGTTGTAATCCCTCTGCTATGACATCTAGTGCCAGTACAATCGTTTGGGCGGAAACGGAAAACTAGCTTATTTATTTAAGTTTGTGTTTGTTTGTCTACCTTGTGCAATAGCATTCAGGACAATGGCTTGTTCCCTCGTTGTAAGAAACGCCCGGCACAGCCACAGCCCCTCCACCTCCTCCACACGCGTCCATTCCCGGTTGCCTTGCCCGCTGATACAATCACACTCGCTACAGTCACGAAGAGCCACCTGAGGGCGGAACATATGGAATGCGGAACAATCGTAAGCGCGTGGGAAGCATAGAAAGTAGAATTATGCGACTCGACAAATAACAAAGGATGGTGGCGGGGAATGGCTAAGAGGTCGGAGGAGATAGTCTCAAAAAGACACAGGACGAGCTGGAAGCGGTGGAAAGCGGTGATGCGGGGCTATCGGGTCCAGCACGACGGATTTCACGGAAATAGAGAGTACGGAAGATCATGGGAGACTATGGGAGATTACGGTAGGGCTACAAGGCAAGGCAGGACGCTCGGGTGGTGGTGACGGCGGTCCAAACACGTCATCAAGCAACGAATCTTCCATCGTTTTCACGAAATCTTTTTGCTGGAAGAACCGTTGTGACGAGGGATCAGAAAAATATGACGGAATAGTAGCCGAGTTGTAAGATTCTGCAACTCGTCCTAATCGTTTTCGAACGCGCTTCTTTCTTGCCTTCGTCCGTCACATCCCTGGGTGGCGGTTTCCAGAGTAACACAACCAGAAAACTCCAAACACGAAAGCTTCAAACCAGAAGACGCGAATCGCAGTAGGTGCTTCAGACTGGTTGCCACCTACTCGCGGTGGGTGCTTCACAGATTCTTCACATCCGACAAGTGCTACTTTCCCAACTCCAGCTCTATCTACGGCTGAAGGAGACTCGGAACCCTAACCGACCGCTCCAGTGTTTGGAGAAATCGTTTAGCAGCAGAAGCCATCCTACTGAACCGCACTGAGGCGAAATAGTGTGATGTCATGAGCGTATCTGTTTGTTTGTCGAAAGCATGACACATGCTCGCGTGTCTAAGGACTGAGTGTAAAGAGCTGCACTGTTCCAAAGCACAAAGTTCTATTGGCCTTCACTTTATGTGGTCCTCCTCAGCAATACTTGTCTCCCATTCCTGGGTGGGTGCAGGAGGAGACAGTCGAGCCTTCCCTTATCCCACAGCTCTCAGTGGAGGTACTCGGCCAGGCGATCCACTCAGCGGCTAGGGCGTCCGCACCAGGACCGTCGGGGTGGGTGACGGAGCACCTGCGCGACACTTTTCTCTCTGAGCCCGCGTATCTGTCCCACCTGCTAGAGGTCTTCACCCAGTGGACCAAGGGAGAGGTAGCGGAGCGCGTGCGACCCTGGCTCACTGCGTCCAACTTGGTGGGCCTGTCGAAGCCGAATGGTGACGTTCGCCCGGTGGCTATAGGCGAGGTGCTCCCCCGCATACTATCTCGGGCCATATGCATCGTGCTTCGCCCGAAGATGATGTCGCACTTTGCTCCGTGTAACCAGTTTGGAGTCGGGTCCAGGTCGGGAGTGGAAGTCCTCGCACATGCCTTTCGCTCCGCCATCTCTACTCACAAGTCGTGGTGCGCGCTGCAAATTGACGTGGCGAACGCTTTCAACTCCTTCCATCGGCGGGAAATGTTTGAGGGTCTTCGACAGTCGCCTTTCAAGGGATTGATTCCATTTCTGCGTGTCTTCTACGGCACTCCTAGCGACCTCTATCTCCGAGCGGGCCCTTTTGTCGAAGCTTTGGCTTCCGAGCGGGGCTCGAGGCAAGGGGATCCATTGGGTCCGTTTCTGTTCGCGTTCACACAGCAGCTGGTTATGGAACCAACCAAAACGGAGTACGCCGACTTACTCTTCCTCAGCTATGCTGACGATACGTATATCCTGGGGCCTAGGGAGCGGGTTTTAGCAGCCTATGAGGCCTTGCGGGAACGACTGGACGGGCTGGGTTTGGAGGTGCAGCCGCATAAGTGTAAGCTATGGGAGCGAGGGAGGGACCAGGATGGGGAGGAGAGAAATGAGACTGTCCCGCCCGGCATGCAGCAGACATGGACGGGGCTCACTGTGGTAGGGGTGCCCATTGGGGAGGAGGACTGGGAGGTGGCTAGCCTGCGTCGCCGGCTGACGGAGCTGCATGCACCTGTCCCCTGGCTTCCTCTGCTTGACCACCCACAGATTGCGTCCCATTTGTTGGCGATCGCAGTGTCGGCGCGCCCGATCTACCTCACACGGACGATGCCTCCACGACCTGAGGTTGTGGAGGCTTTTCGGGACTGGGACACGAAGCTGGAAGATTGTTTCGAGGAGCTGTTTCCAGATAGTACCTGGGATCACGATTCGGGGAAGTCCCAGATGGCTCGTTTACAGCTGCACCTTCCTGCCAGACTCGGGGGGTTCGGCATTCGATCTGCGGCTGACCTTAGTCCTCTGTCGTATGCATGTGGCTGGTGCCAAGCAGTGAGCGATGTGGCTCGGTTGGGGGTGGCAGGTGAGGAGCGGATGTTTGAGGAGTTTTTCCGCACGCCCGAGGCTACGACCTTGTTGGACCCCTGGTTTGCGAGAGCAGTGGATCTGCTTCCACAGTCGGTTCGGCAGGAGATGCCACCCCTTGCCTTGTGCACCGCTGATCCGCCTATGCTGCTCTTCCCCACACAACACCGTCGCCTGGCGGTTGAGAGCCTCCAATCTCTTCGAGGCATGGCCCACAACGATGCCACCCTGGCCCGTTTGACATCCCTTCAGGGCCCGGGGGCTGGGGCGTGGGTTTCTGCCGTTCCTTCGCACGAGGAGGCTACCTTCACCGCAGCCGAGTGGAGCATCTGCGCGTCCATGCGCCTAGGCCTCCCTATTCAGCAGCTGATAGTGGCCGGCAAGTGCGCGTGTGGGTTTGAGTTTGCTGATCCCTCTGACCCGCATCATGCCCTTCGCTGCAAGTATCAGTATGCACCTTCTCGGGTTCACGATGCGGTTAAATTTGTGGTGGCGAAGATAGCTAAGGGTGCGGGTGGGATTGTGACCATGGAAGACGACACGTTGCTGTCAGAGGTCCACTGGAGATCCCCGATGATCCTAGGGAAGGGTTACAGGCATGTTGGCCTGGAGGGTTATGGGCGCACTCACCCGCCATACAAACAAGCCCTTTTATCCCAGTGGTTAGTGGCTGGGATTCTGACATGGTATCAGAGCGAAGGTCTTGGGTTCGAATCCCGGTGTGTGCACCTCGGGCATCCCAGTGCGGGGGGGTGTCAGAGGTCCACTGGAGATCCCCGATGATCCTAGGGAAGGGTTACAGGCATGTTGGCCTGGAGGGTTATGGGCGCACTCACCCGCCATACAAACAAGCCCTTTTATCCCAGTGGTTAGTGGCTGGGATTCTGACACGTTGCTCCCAGGGAAGAGGGTTGATGTGGCGGTTCGGAAACTGAGGGAGGGGGAGGAGCACGCGCTGGAGGTTAGTGTGGTAGATCCTATCTCGCTATCCGCGCAGCACCATGGACAGATTGGTCGCAAGGTGGGTTTTGCCGCGAGAGAGAGAGAAAAGCGGAAGACGGCGGACTACAAATCGCTTCTACAGCGGCATAGGGGAGTGCAGTTCACACCACTCATTGCTGAGACATGGGGATGCTTGGGGGGGAGTTTTGGACGGTGGCTTAAGAAGCAGGGTGACGCGCAGATCGAGATAGCAAAGACGAAAGGGGCGGCGCGAGCTACGGGAAAGGGTTTCTCGGCTTATTTGCTCGGATCGCTCAAAGCGGCTGTGGGTGTGGCTTTGCAACGGGCTCAGGCGCGTGTGATCTTGTTACGCGCGGCGTCGATGATGAGAGGCCCAGAGGCTGTTTGGGTGGAGCGGGAGGATGTTGAGGAGGAGATGGGATGGGATGCTCCGTGGGCGGAAGCTGTCAAATGTTGAGGGAGGGGACAGCAGTAGGTGAGAGGCAAATTAGGGTTCGGCGGTACTCTGGGGGTGCTGGTGCGGAGTCTGGGGGTGCTGCGTCTGGGGGTGAGGGTGTCCCTTCGGTTTCTGGAGAGCCTGGGTCTGGAGCTGGTGTTGGTGCTGCCTCTGGGGGTGGTGTGCTTGGTGCTTCGGAGGTCGACTCTGGGGCTGCCGCTGCCCCGGACACTACTCCTTCCCCCCACCCCTACCCGACCAGGTTCCAGGCTCGTGTTCGCCGTGCTCGTGAGGAGCAGCTGGAGTTGGAGAGAGAGGAGAGAGAGTTGCAGCGGCTCGAGGAGCAGGAGCGACAGCAGCAGGAGCAGCAGCAGGAGCAGCAGCAGGGGCAGCAGCCGCTGGAGCAGCAGCAGCCGCAGCAGCAGCAGCAGCAGCTGCTGCCGTCTCCTCCTCCTGTCTCGGGTCTTCGGACCCTTGGTCTCCCGTCTCCCTCTCCTTCCTCCTCCCCCTCTCCTCCCGTCTCTGGTCCTCCGCTTCCTCCTCCTGACCCCTCTCCCGCTGTTTTCCCTCGTTCTCAGTCTTCGTTGTCTCCTCCTCCTTCTCAGACTTGGGCCTCTCGTCGCTCCCCTCGTGCTCGTCCCTCGTCTCCTGTTCCCTTCACTGACCTTCGTACAGCCTTCCTTTGTTCTCGTCCACCTCGTCCGTCTCCGTCTGTGCTTCCGTCTCCTCCTGAGTCGGCCCTCACTGTGTCGCTTCCTTCTCCTGTCACTGACTACTACCGCACGTACCGTCCTGTTCTCTCTCGTGTTCTCGCCTCTCTTGTTACCCACTTTCGTGCCTCTGTGTCCTCTGTGTCCGCTCTTACTGCCGCAGTCACTGAGTTTGCCTCTACCCGCCGCCTTGACTTCGCCACCGCTCTTGTGGCTGCTCCTCCTTCCAGTCCTCTGGCCGTCGGGGGTGTGTCTGCCCTTGGCTGTGACGCCCTAGAGGACAGGCAGTTTGAGCTAGAGTTCCTGGCGGCCGCTTCCCCTCATCTCTGTGCCATGCTCCTCGCCCCTGAGGGTGACCCCGACGCCCTTGACATTCCGACTCCTCGCACTTACGCTGAGGCAGTGTCAGGGCCTTGGGCCTCTCAGTGGAGAGCTGCCATGGACGCAGAGATGGCCTCCTACAGATCCACAGGCACCTACGTCGATGAGGTTCCCCCTCCGGGGGCGAACGTAGTCGACGGCATGTGGATCTACAGGGTGAAGCGGCCACCGGGATCTCCTCCGGTCTTCAAGGCGCGCTACGTGGCTAGAGGTTTCAGTCAGCGCGAGGGAGTTGACTTCTTTC